ACCTGTCTGTGGACTTTTGTGGAAAGCAAAAAGTGTTGTTTGTGCAAGCTGTTCCAGGGGTTGGTCATATCCATTTCGACCTAGCTCATTTCAGACAAGTTCTTCATGCAAAATAACTAGGTTTTGGGAGATAACAACAAGTCCCTCTTGATGTCCACAGGTCTCAGACGGAGGGACTAGGAGGGACTAGGAGGGACTAGGGGCTGTGTCTATCACTGCTGTTGACTACATATGCTCATATGTTATCCCTGGAACTCAAGTATTTTGCTGTGCTCTAAGTCGGACAGAGTGAGTGAGTGAGTTGGGTTTTAATGACGCTTTTAACAGTATTCCAGTTATATTGCGGCATGTCAGCTTAATGTGGGAGGAAAGCCCGAAGTGATGCAGGTCTCAGACGTTTACCACTTCGGTGAAATCCACGAGCATGGGTATGGTGCTGACAAACCTAGAAACATAATCGGGGCGAACCGGGATTTGAACCCACAATCATAGGTTTCTGGTGTTTCCAAGGGTCGCAACTCTGCACAGCGAAGCAGGCCACCTAAGACGAGTGGGCCCCCCGTGCCCCAAGACCCCATACTTTATCAGGACAAACAGGAACAGTTGGAAAGGACTCTGCTTTGCCTTGTCCTTTGTTCTCACAGCCGTACCGTCACATGCCGATAAAGTACTGTCCCTTATCCTCTATCGATTAGTAAATATCGAGTAGTGGAAATCGGATCTTAGTACTTGCTACAGCTCGCAAAGATCTGAGGACACCCCATTACAGGTAATGTCAGAATAACCATACACTCTTGGCCACATATTAAACATTTTGTTTTGTTCATTTCGAAATTTTGAATTCACAACTTTGTAAAAATATTATTCAAAGCATAATGGAATGGAAGGCACCATTTTGAAACTTGTGCTCTAAAGCTGCTTTCTGATTGGCTTATGTTGAATAACTGTTCGTCATTTCACTGGTGAGGTGAGGTGAAATGGGGTTTAACGTCACGTCCAAGATGATTGCACTTTCATAGTGACGTGCATGCACATTTGTGAGCGTTTGGCTGCTTGTACTAGTCCTGACTAATGCCAATTATATAGTACTAGCTCACAGATATACCATGCCACAGTTTAACATGAATATTCCACTCAGACACGGTATATTGACTCTGAGCCTATCAGTCCTTGTTTTAGCACCATGATGCCGAGCGCCAGGCTGGGTAACAACAAGTAACATCTTTGGAATGACACAGCCGCGGATCGAACCCCGGACATTTCCGCTCGCCGGGCGGATGTCCTACAACTAGACCATGGAGGCAGTCCATTTCACTGGTCAATCAAAGTTTGTGAAAGGTTGTTCTGACATGACCCGAAATGTGATGTCCTCAGATTTTTGTAATGCTGTTGCGAGCACCAAGATCTTATGTTATTGTAGTAATAACTCATGCTATGGCTTTGTACACGACTTGTCTTTCACTGACCAATTTGAGCAAAGTAACAATATTTTATTTGAAAATTTCCTGGCAAGGGCACTTAGCTGGGAATCCCTGTCCCTGGCTTATTACCAACTGTTATCTTTCAGATGAAACAAATAGCCTGCATGTTTTTTTCCAAAAGATATCAACATTAATGTAGCAAACCATGCATCTATGACTCTCCTTTCTCTATTACATTTTGACATTTACATGTTGATATTGAACACAAATGCAATTACCATGCTAATATGTTGGTCTCATCTGTCCTGTTTGTTTGTAACTTCCCCTAACAGTATTTGAAAAAGTATGTACTTACACGTGATATATGTATCCATAACATCTGACTTAATGCTTTTGAGCCATCCAATCTGAGGTTTAAAACATGGTATATATGGAAACCAAAATGGTATAAGATTGATCTCACCATGGCATTATGCTGATATTAAAACAACTTTGTTGCACCATGATACAGCTTGTCTGAATACGTGAAGCGCCACTGATTTCAACATGAAATAACACTGATATTACCACGGTATAACAATGATATAAACATGGTATAACAATGATATAAACATGATGTATCACCATCAATAGTAACACCATTTCTTTACACTGCTATCATGTCTTAACACTGATATCATCATGTCATAACACTGATATCATCATGTCATAACACTGATATCACAGTATCTTTTAAAACACTGATATCACTGTGTCTTAACACATATATCACCATGTCTTAACACTGATGTCAACATGTCGTAACAATGATATCACCATGTCTTTACACCGATATCAGATGCTTTGACACTGATATCACCATGTCTTAACAGTGATATCACTGTCTTAACACTGATATTACCATGTCTTAACACTGATATCACAATGTCTTAACACTGATATCACAATGTCTTATCAAACAGTGATATCACTGTTTTTAATGCTGATATCACCATGTCTTAACACTGATATCACCATGTCTTAACACTGATATCACCATGTCTTAACACTGATATCACAATGTCTTATCAAACAGTGATATCACTGTTTTTAACGCTGATATTTCCATGTCTGAACACTGATATCTCAATGACTTAACACTGATATCACAATGTCTTAACACTGATATCACCATGTCTTAACACTGATATCTTCATATCTTAACACTGATATCAACATGTCCTCTGATATCACCATGTCTTAACACTGATATCACTGTGTCTTAACACTGATATCACATGTCTCAACACTGATATCACAACGCCCTCACTCTGATAACACTGGTACTTACTTCTCACTGACTTTCCATGGTCAACAAAGTTGCCAAATGGACAATACACCCATACCACTGATATCATTGTTTCAACAGAACCACAGACATAACACGGCCTGTCACATGGCATAACACTAATTTCACAACGCAGCAAACAAAAGCATAATGGTAAACACTATAACAAATAACAACAGGAGTTCCACAGACATACAAATGGCAGTAACAGTTTCCATGGTGACTGTAATATTAAAACTGAAGATGACCCAGGCTCTCTGCATCCATGGCAGTTGCTAGTGTCTCTGCTGATAACTCCTAATAATTCAGAACGGACTCCATTTCATTACAGAGCTCTTTTACAGAAATGTTAACAAAAATATTACACATCTACCTATTTAATAACTATTTTGATTATGGTCACCAGATGCTCCGTCATAATATTGCTATTTACTTGGTGAGCAAATGTTTCTATAACCTTCATTTCCAACAGTCATTAACAACGTAACTGTTTGAGCAGTGGTGTCGATCACCACTGCATTAAGATAACTCCCACAGTATCACCACCTGAAGGCATTGCTTGTATTAATTACATGGTTTACACATCGAAACTTCAGAAATGTGAAATGGAATCAAACAAGTACACATTTTCTTACCATTGTGTTACCAAATTTAAGCAGTATTTTTGTTGTTGAAATCTGCACAGAAAGGGGAGTTACTTATGATTTTTCATTTAGTGAGTGAGTGAGTTGGGTCTAATGCCACTTTGAAATATTTTTAATATAAATATCACACTCCAAGCCATAAGTTTCTTTGTCTTAATTTATTCCAACTCACAATACTTTTGACCTAAAATTTCAAAAAAGTATATTTTTTGTGTTAACTTTTAGTTAGTTTCTTTTACACCCATTCTTTTGGATTAGATAAATAAACCAAGTAAAACCAGCAAGACCAGCCTCCGCATCAGATACTCACCAGATGCAGAATTCCTGAAATCTACATTAATTATTTCTTTAAAATACATCAAAAACAAGCAGGTGTCTTTATAGAATTATTTTTTGGGGAAAAATAAAACGTGTTCATTTAACTTTCAAATTTGTGCACATAAAGGATTCTTATTCCACCAGCATGGGCGGATCAGAATTTTAAAAAGGGAGTGGTCCAAAATATCAAAAACCTCTCTCGGATAATGTTACTGCTTACAACATACATGTACTATATTGGTTTTCATAAAAGAAAAGGGGGGAGTGCGGACCCCCTGGACACCCCCCTCTGGATCTGACTTTGAACAGCATGTGTTAGAGTTGATGCATCACAGAGGTAGAAGCCATTTGTTATATGCAACCAGTAAGCAGCTTATTTCAGACAAGTGTTCAATGCAAATTATCTAGTTTTTGAAAGACAACAATTTGTGCATCTGGATTTTCATTTGTCTCGGACGAGTGTCCGTGTCTAACCCTGTATCAATAGTTGTTTCTCATAGCATCGATGTAGGTTTCAGGATTTCGAGCCCCCTCAATAGCCTATATTCTATAGAATTTCGAAACTGGAAGAATTAGCATTGTGTTTAAATATCACAGATATCTTTCATTTCAAAATATAGTTAATCTCTTAAAATAGATCATAACTGTACAGACATCTATGAGAGGAGGTGAACAATCACTATCCTGTTCCATGGTTTAAAAACAGAGATATGTATCAATACCATTTTCGGACTAATAAAAGGACTGGATAAAAGTTCATCTTAAATTGATTAAAACTCAACTGAAATCTCTTTTTGGTAAAAGTTATAGGAATAACCCAAAAAATGTTTAACAGATAACATTTACTGACTGATGTAAAGCAGCACATATGATAGCATAGTTTCCGATGGCTGATTGACAATGAATGTACATGTGTTATGTCCAGGTTATGAATATGTTGGTTGCTGTGATCTACTTTCTACATGGGCAATGGCAACAGATCTGCAATCAAAAATAAAATTGATAAACTGTACATAAAACTCTCTCCACACACTCCCCACATAAATATTCTCGAAACTCATTCAGCTAAAATATCGCTATGGATCTCTCGCCACATCCCTCTGGTCCCAAGAATCGGATTTCCACGACAGGTAACGTGCTACCTCCGACAGTTCGCGTACAATGGCAGTCGCGGTAACCTTCAGATACCTTACACAGCGTCCACAAGTCACATGACTAGCTTTTGGCCAATCACAGCCTCTGAATCATCCCACCTCACTGTCAGAAGCTCATCATAATTCATGATTAATGTCACATGACTTCCATCAACCAATGAACAACTCACATATCCTGTCTACAACTACACTTCATATACATCAGTGGCCATCAGCCAATCACAGTCAACCTCAGTGTTTATCAACATCTCATTCAATTGGTTCCATTAATTTTTTCTTTTCTTTCTGTTTAAAACTCCCTGCTCTATTTTTGGTTGGCAGATTGTTTGCAGAGGCATGGCGTATCCTTCCGCCGTTGGTGCCGTTTTTGTCTACAATGTCCTTGTCCGTCGGGGAGTGCATGCTCCCCACACTGAGACTTGACATGGAACTAGACAGATTCAGATTGGAGGATATTCCCAGAGAGCTTGGGTAAGGATTGAGAATGTCAAGGTCATCACCAGGGAGACACGATTCAACCATCATTGCCTTTTCTAAACAATTCACAAATAGTTCCGCTGTGTCACTGCTGCCCGAGGACTGAAAAAGACAAATGGACATCATTTAGTCGACATCATTAACTGGACATCATTATTTGTTATTTAACGCTGCACTCAGACAATCCAGTGATTGACATCATGAGCATCGATCTACGCAATTTGGATATGATGACATGCATCCCCCAAGTCAGCGAGCCAGGCCACCTGATCCCATTAGTCGTCTCTTATGGCAAGCATGGGTTGCTGAAGACCTATTCTGACCCGGATCTTCACGGGTCTGGACATTATCAGCTGGATGGGAATCATTAAATGGTTCGGAGGAAATTTAACACAAGCCACCATTCATACAGGTTGTAAATGTTCACTGATCGGGAGAAACCCACGAGCATGGTTATGGTGCTGAGATCACAAGCCAAAGGGAAGCAACTCTGTGCAGCAAGTTGTGGTACTATAGATAAATAGGTTACCCATGCTCCAAAGTTTTATAGATGATTTTTTACTAAAGAAAACAATGGGTAACTGAACACATGCTTTGGACCGCATGTAGGAGTATTACAGCTATCAACACTTCAGATCACAGTTCAAATCTCATCTGTTTCTGACAGCCAATGATCGATCGAGTGAGTGAGTGAGTGAGTGAGTGAGTGAGTGAGTGAGTGAGTGAGTGAGTTGGGTTTAACGCCTCTTTTAACATTATTCCAGTTATATCACGCCGTGTCAGTAACCAACCAGAAAGACAGGTTTCTGCAACAACAGGGTCCAAACTAATAGGGTTCTAAGTCCTCATTCAGTTTATTTCGACAATGGTACAGTGTGAGTGAGTGAGTCAGGTGAGCTTAATGCCGCTTTAAACAGTATTCCAGTTATATCACAGCATGTCAGCTGAATGTGGGAGGAAAGCCTCAGACCTTTACCACTTCAGTGAAACCCACGAGCACAGGGTATGGTGATGACATACCTGGAAACATAATCATGGCGAACCGGGATTCGAACCCACAATCATAGGTTTCTGGCGTGGCCAAGGGAAGCAACTCTGCACAACGAATCGCGGTGCCTTAGACGACTGGGCCACCCGTGAACCCTCCCAATGATCAAGAGCACTTTTTCTTATTCTTCTTATTAAGCAGCAACTTGCTAATAAGGTATGAGATATAAGTGCCTGGGTTGAAAAAACACTTTCAGCCAGGGCCCACCAGCACAAACCAATCAAACCACCAGGACTATGACACTTATTTTCAATTGTCAAAGGACCAACACTATTTCGTGCAACTGGATGTTGTTGATTGTTGTTTAACGCCGCACTCAGAAATATTCCAGCTATATGACGACGTTGTGCAACTCGATCAGGGTTTTACAGAATATAGGAAAATTTCCATATCTTTACTTTAGTCTGAACCAGATTGGTTGGTTGGTTTGTTGTTTAACGCCGCACTCAGCAATATTCCAGCTATATGATGGCGGTCTGTAAATAATCGAGTCTGGACCGGACAATCCAGTGATTGATATCATGAGCATCGATCCACGAAATTGGGATCGATGACATGTATCAACCAAGTCAGCGAGCCTGACCACCCGATCCCGTTAGTTGCCTTTTACGACAAGCATAGTCACCTTTTATGGCAAGCATGGGTTGCTGAAGACCTATTCTACCCCGGAATCTTCATGGGTCAGTCTGAACCAGACAAACCAGTGATTGGTATCCTGAGCACAAATTCACGCCATTGGAGTAGGATGACATTCAATCAACTAAGTCACTGATCCTGACTACCCAATCAATTGTGTCGCGTCATACATCAAGCAGGGGGTACTGACAACCAGCTCTCCCAGGAAAGCCATCTTGCCATTAATAAAGGACATTTAATGAATTTTCAAATTATTTTAAGATGTACATTAAACACGAAATTTTCAAGCCTGTTGCTTTCCTTTGAACACATTGTCATAACGTTTGTCCAGAACATCATGAACGATGTCAGCTCACCTTTGTGAATGTACCAGCGAACCTCCATAAACCTCCAAAACCAATACCTGAAACAAGACGTGCGCAATTAGTCACCATATTTGTTTGTTTGTTTCTTTGTTGTTAAATTCCAGTCTGACAAAAAATCCAGTTATTGACATCATGAGTATCGATCCACGCAATTGGGATTCGATGACATGCATCAACCAAGTCAGCGAAGCTGACCACACAATCCTGTTTGTTGCCTCTTACGACAAGCATAGTTGCCTTTTATGCCAAGCATGGGTTGCTGAAGACCTATTCTACAACAGGTGTTCATGGGTCCACAGTGAAACAGAGATCCTGCTTATAGGTGCTGATCCACTGGGGTGATGGGCACACCTTTTTGGTATAGCTAAATGGAAAAGACTTATTGTCGGACAGAAAGTCCAAAGTGATGCCGATCACAGACATCTACCACTTTGGTGAAACCCACCAGCACAAACCTGACTAACCTAGAAACATAATCGGGACAAACCGGGATTCAAACCCACAATCACCATGACAACACTTACTCTGGAGGTAGGACAGCTGCTGTTGGGAGGCATCCTCACAGGCGATCATGTTCTGGATGATGCTCTGGACTGCATTGAGGATGGCCTGGTCGTGGCACAGTGACAGAACATTGTTTATCTTTGCGTCAAGGAGACTGTGACTGTAACAAATGGAAGACTGTGATTAAGTCTACATTCTCGACTGTTGGAGCTGGGATTTATCTAGGATTTCAAACTATGTTCCTTTGGCAGGCATACTGGAAAAAGTCGTGATATAATTCAAAATTCGATTTTTGTAATGCTGTTATTTTTGTAAATTCTGAGAAATTAGTAATTTTTTAATTCAATTTGGGAATTTTAAGTCGTCTTGTCACTTATCTCAACTTTGCCAACAATATGACAACATGAATGATTTTAAAATATGCAATATACCAGTTCTTTCCAAACATATTGTGATACATATTCATTAGTATTTTAAATCATGTTAACTTGGGCTGGGACGGGTAACTCGGGTAACTCGGGTAGGGTGCGTAATGAGTAGGACCTGGGTACCCACAGGACTACCCGGACCCGTGGTTAGACACATGATATATTGTTTAAAGACAAAATTAACTAGAACTGTACGTTTAAACTACAAGTCACTTATGTTTCCGACTACGAAGTCCATTCCTTCTGACTTTAATATGTTTCAATAAAAATAAAACTTCAGTCTTCTTCAGTGTATACATCAGATTGTTTTATAAGTGTACCTAAACACCTTTTGCCAGGGTTACGGTCAAACTTTTCTCAATCGGACAGTTTGTACCTACCTCTTGAGACCTACAGCGGGTATCAGGGTAATAGGGGGATGGGTACCCGGTAGTAAATTTGGAACTGTCCCAGCCCTAATGTTAACCTCTACCAACTAATGTACTCGATTAAACAGCAGCTGCAACTTACATTACAGGAAAGACTTTAGGGAATACGACTGAGGCTTCAGCTAGATACTCGTACAATATTCTAGTCTCGTTCTCATCTGTTGTGTTCCGAACAAGTGTTGCCTGAAACAGGGAAAACAATCAACACGTGTAGTAAACCACATTCTATACTACTCAACATGTGATAGGGATAATCAGACCTTTGTCGGATAAACTTAAATATACACTTGACATTGATGACAATCAGTTTTGTGTATCGTGGCAAGATATAACATTGTTTTTCAACACATGTAGTAAACCACATTCTATACTACTCAACATGTGATAGGGATAATCAGACCTTTGTCGGATAAACTTAAATATACACTTGACATTGATGACAATCAGTTTTGTGTATCGTGGCAAGATATAAGATTGGTTTTCAACACATGTAGTAAACCACATTCTATACTACTCAACATGTGATAGGGATAATCAGATATATGTCAGATAAACTTAAATATACACTTGACATTGATGAGATTCAATCAGTTTTGTGTATCGTGGCAAGATATAACATTGGTTTTCAACACATGTAGTAAACCACATTCTATACTACTCAACATGTGATAGGGATAATCAGATATATGTCAGATAAACTTAAATATGCACTTGACATTGATGACAATCAGTTTTGTGTATCGTGGCAAGATATAACATTGGTTTTCAACACACGTAGTAAACCACATTCTATACTACTCAACATGTGATAGGGATAATCAGATATATGTCAGATAAACTTAAATATGCACTTGACATTGATGACAATCAGTTTTGTGTATCGTGGCAAGATATAACATTGGTTTTCAACACATGTAGTAAACCACATTCTATACTACTCAGCATGTGATAGGGATAATAAGACCTATGTCAGATAAACTTAAATATACACTTGACATTGATGACAATCAGTTTTGTGTATCGTGGCAAGATATAACATTGGTTTTCAACACATGTAGTAAACCACATTCTATACTACTCAACATGTGATAGGGATAATCAGACTTATGTCAGATAAACTTAAATATGCACTTGACATTGATGAGATTCAATCAGTTTTGTGTATCGTGGCAAGATATAACATTGGTTTTCAACACATGTAGTAAACCACATTCTATACTACTCAACATGTGATAGGGATAATCAGACCTATGTCAGATAAACTTAAATATACACTTGACATTGATGACAATCAGTTTTGTGTATCGTGGCAAGATATAACATTGGTTTTCAACACATGTAGTAAACCACATTCTATACTACTCAACATGTGATAGGGATAATCAGACCTATGTCAGATAAACTTAAATATGCACTTGACATTGATGACAATCAGTTTTGTGTATCGTGGCAAGATATAACATTTGTTTTCAACACGTGTAGTAAACCACATTCTATACTACTCAACATGTGATAGGGATAATCAGACCTATGTCAGATAAACTTAAATATACACTTGACATTGATGACAATCAGTTTTGTGTATCGTGGCAAGATATAACATTGGTTTTCAACACATGTAGTAAACCACATTCTATACTACTCAACATGTGATAGGGATAATCAGACCTATGTCAGATAAACTTAAATATACACTTGACATTGATGAGAATCAGTTATGTGTATCGTGGCAAGATATAACATTTGTTTTCAAGGGCTCTTTTATCACTTAACAATGCCCAAATTCTGCACTTTCCCCCATTGTATCAACATCAATTTCCTTCTTGCAGCATTAACACAATGCCTTGTTTCATAGACCCATTGGTACTTTAAAATGCAACCGCAATCAAAAACACACTTTCCCATGACTAAAACACAATGACAGGTTCACGGAACCTCCTCTTGGTCTGCTGCAGGTTGGGAACCAGTCTAGAGTTTCAAGTGCCGCTCAAGTTAATTTAACTTTACCTAGGAATACATTGCGCAATGGAATTTACCTACATAACCTATAACTGACAGAATAAGTCTTTCTTAAGCGACAGGAAGCAAACAATGCATTGAAACTTGAACGGTAATGATGTTCAGTAGCAAATTTGTTATAGATTTTATTCACATTCCAGCACTTTTCAACAACTGTCAAAAATAAAATTCCAGCACTTTCATTTATAATGTCAGAATCAAGCACTTTTCATCGGACATGGTTAAATTAAAGCTCTTCTAAAATCTGTGTGCACCCTGTTTAACCCCAGCGCCATCCAGACAGAGACTTACCAGGACCGTGAGGACAAGAGCCTGTGTGGGGTAGTCCATGAGGATGTCCGGATCCAGGAGGACGTTGTTCTCATTGGACACGGAGCTCCGCCCACTGCGCGGCTGCTGGATTGCTGATTTGGAGGACTCCAGCTTGTTGCTGCCTGGCGTTGGCATGGAACTGCTGCGGAACTTCGTCAGCGGCGGCCGTGAATTTTGATCAAGGTCAAGGCTGACGCTCTTGCCCTGCAACAGGTGTTTGAACTTTGCTGAGATGAAAATGTCATTCATTTCACTGGTAGCAGAAAAAGAAATTTTTCTGCAGCAGTAACTTGAAGTTTCTTAAAGGTAAGTCATGTTTCTCCTTTTATTTATTACTTTGTTTGCTTGTAGTTTAACACCGCACTCAAGTCAGGACCATCATGACATCATGAGCATCGACATACGTAATTGAGATACGACGACATGCATCAACAAAGTCACCAAGTCTGACCACTCGATCCCGTTCGTCGCTTCATACAACAAGCATGGGTTGCAGAAGACCTATTCTAGCCCAGGTCTTCACAGGTCTATTTATTACTTAAATGAGACCATGACAAAGACGAAAGCCTCGCTCATATTGAATCGGCTGTCCTATGGCTTAACTGACAGCTGTAGCAACAAATACATTCAACAATACAGGTAAGAACTGTGTTTTCACATTTCTCATTTACCTAGGGCTAATTGCTATTAAAAGTAATATCTAGAGATCTGATGACAATAATTTTGCAACAATCGACAGATCTATGCCGACATACTGAACAAACTTAATTGGGGATCATGAATATTTCTTGGGATGTTTGTGGGGAAACTGAGTTTCTTTAAATGTGTACGGTATATAAAAATATTTCATTATCCCTCACTTCTTTGTGTTCAGTATAGACGTAGGCAAAAAATGATCCTCATGAACTAAATCTCATAATAATCAGCTGGTGATCTGACACTCAAATACGTATGTATGAACCTGTATGTATTACTTCATTTATAGAAGGGGGGCACGCTGTGCAGAGTTGCGTCCCTTGGGCACGCCAGAAACCTATGATTGTGGGTTTGAATCCCGGTTAGCCTCGATTATGTTTCTAGGTTTGTCAGCACCATACCCGTCCTCGTGGGTTTCACTGAAGTGGTAAACGTCTGAGACCTGCATCACTTCGGGCTTTCCTCCCACATTAAGCTGACATGCCGTGATATGACTGGAATACTGTTTAAAGCAGCATCAAACCCAACTCACTCACTCACTCATTTATAGAAAAAGTCCTACTTTCACAGGGTCGAAATTACACTGTTTTATCATCGAGAAATGCACAACAGTTTCACCATGTTGATAAACTGAGGTACTGAAAGACCTCTACAATCTTCGTGGCAACTCTCAAAGTACTGGCATTGATCTAAATCCACACTACACAGGCATGCTCAAAGTGCTACATTCTTATAAATCCAGTCAACGGATCTGTGTGTCCTCGGTTTTCATTCTCTGCTCCAGCATCAGTCAGCCACACTATCTAACCTGTTATTCCAGGTCATGCCCACAAGAGTTGTCTAGCCCTAGTCGGACACACTATCTAACCTGTTATTCCAGGTCATGCCCACAAGAGTTGTCTAGCCCTAGTCGGACACACCATCTAGCCTGTTATTCCAGGTCATGCCCACAAGAGTTGTCTAGCCCTAGTCAGACACACCATCTAACCTGTTATTCCAGGTCATGCCCACAAGAGTTGTCTAGCCCTAGTCGGACACACCATCTAACCTGTTATTCCAGGTCATGCCCACAAGAGTTGTCTAGCCCTAGTCAGACACACTATCTAACCTGTTATTCCAGGTCATGCCCACAAGAGTTGTCTAGCCCTAGTCAGACACACTATCTAACCTGTTATTCCAGGTCATGCCCACAAGAGTTGTCTAGCCCTAGTCGGACACACCATCTAACCTGTTATTCCAGGTCATGCCCACAAGAGTTGTCTAGCCCTAGTCGGACACACTATCTAACCTGTTATTCCAGGTCATGCCCACAAGAGTTGTCTAGCCCTAGTCAGCCACACTATCTAACCTGTTATTCCAGGTCATGCCCACAAGAGTTGTCTAGCCCTAGTCAGACACACTATCTAACCTGTTATTCCAGGTCATGCCCACAAGAGTTGTCTAGCCCTAGTCGGACACACTATCTAACCTGTTATTCCAGGTCATGCCCACAAGAGTTGTCTAGCCCTAGTCGGACACACTATCTAGCCTTAGTTCCAGGCCATGCTCTACGGTCTAGCATCAGTCAGCCACACTATCTAGCCATTAGATTGAGGCCAAGGTCTCACAATATGGTCTAGCATCATACAGCCCCACTATCTAGCCATTAGATTGAGGCCATGCTCTCACAATATGGTCTAGCATCAATCAGCCACACTATCTAGCCATTAAATTGAGGTCATGCTCTAACGATGGTCTAGCATCAATCAGCCCCACTATCTAGCAGATAGATTGAGGCCATGCTCTATGGTCTAGCATCAATCAGCCTCACTATCTAGCCATTAGATTGAGGTCATGCTCTAACGATGGTCTAGCATCACTCAGCCACACTATCTAGCAGATAGATTGAGGCCATGCTCTATGGTCTAGCATCAATCAGCCTCACTATCTAGCCATTAGATTGAGGCCATGCTCTATGGTCTAGCATCAATCAGCCACACTATCTAGCCATTAGATTGAGGCCATGCCCTAACTATGGTCTAGCATCAATCAGCCTCACTATCTAGCCATTAGATTGGGGCCATGCTCTAACTATGGTCTAGCATCATCAGCCTCAGTATATAGCCATTAGCTTGAGGCCATGCTGTAACTATGGCCTAGCATCAATCAGCCTCACTATCTAGCCATTAGATTGAGGTCATGCTCTAATGATGGTCTAGCATCAATAAGCCACACTATCTAGCCATTAGATTGAGGCCAAGCTCTCACAATATGGCCTAGCATCACTCAGCCACACTATCTAGCCATTAGATTGAGGCCATGCCCTAACTATGGTCTAGCATCACTCAGCCACACTATCTAGCCACTAGATTGAGGCCAAGCTCTAACAATATGGTCTAGCATCAATCACCTCCACTATCTAGCCTTTAGATCCATACTAGACATTATCTAGCCTTTAGATTCAGGCCATGCTCTCACATTGTGTTCTACCATCACTAACCTTCACTATCTAGCCTGCTATTCAATCCAAGCCCACACTACATTGTGTAGTACATTCTAGCTCTACTCAATCTGCCCGTGATGCTGATAGATCATGCTTCCTTTCTACGATATCTACATGACTAGCTTAGTCTAGCAAGCAGCAAGCAAGCCACAGCAACACAGCGCCACCTACCTGACTCTGCGTGAGCTGCACATTCTTCCCCATACGCGCTGCCGTCATTGCATTCTGGTCCAGAAGGTCACAGCTCTTTTGTCTCCGTGGGAGAGGGGTGGAGGCAGTCGTGGGCGGGGCATTCTGAGGGGGTGTGACTACAGTGGTGGTGGGAGGGGGAGCAGAGGGGGACACCCCCTGGGAAGAGGACAGCTCAGTATTCAGACTCTCTGTTGATGGGGACTCCGATATCATATAGTTGGCTGTCCGATGTTTCAGATGACACCGACTGCGGACCTCTTCTGACACCGACACTAAGGCTGAAGCAAGACATCAAATGTTTATTTTTCAAAACTGGATCACAAAAAATTTCAACAAATATTACCTGTACCTGAATCCCGGTTAGCCTCGATTATGTTTCTAGGTTTGTCAGCACCATACCCGTCCTCGTGGGTTTCACTGAAGTGGTAAACGTCTGAGACCTGCATCACTTCGGGCTTTCCTCCCACATTAAGCTGACATGCCGTGATATGACTGGAATACTGTTTAAAGCAGCATCAAACCCAACTCACTCACTCACTCATTTATAGAAAAAGTCCTACTTTCACAGGGTCGAAATTACACTGTTTTATCATCGAGAAATGCACAACAGTTTCACCATGTTGATAAACTGAGGTACTGAAAGACCTCTACAATCTTCGTGGCAACTCTCAAAGTACTGGCATTGATCTAAATCCACACTACACAGGCATGCTCAAAGTGCTACATTCTTATAAATCCAGTCAACGGATCTGTGTGTCCTCGGTTTTCATTCTCTGCTCCAGCATCAGTCAGCCACACTATCTAACCTGTTATTCCAGGTCATGCCCACAAGAGTTGTCTAGCCCTAGTCGGACACACTATCTAACCTGTTATTCCAGGTCATGCCCACAAGAGTTGTCTAGCCCTAGTCGGACACACCATCTAGCCTGTTATTCCAGGTCATGCCCACAAGAGTTGTCTAGCCCTAGTCAGACACACCATCTAACCTGTTATTCCAGGTCATGCCCACAAGAGTTGTCTAGCCCTAGTCGGACACACCATCTAACCTGTTATTCCAGGTCATGCCCACAAGAGTTGTCTAGCCCTAGTCAGACACACTATCTAACCTGTTATTCCAGGTCATGCCCACAAGAGTTGTCTAGCCCTAGTCAGACACACTATCTAACCTGTTATTCCAGGTCATGCCCACAAGAGTTGTCTAGCCCTAGTCGGACACACCATCTAACCTGTTATTCCAGGTCATGCCCACAAGAGTTGTCTAGCCCTAGTCGGACACACTATCTAACCTGTTATTCCAGGTCATGCCCACAAGAGTTGTCTAGCCCTAGTCAGCCACACTATCTAACCTGTTATTCCAGGTCATGCCCACAAGAGTTGTCTAGCCCTAGTCAGACACACTATCTAACCTGTTATTCCAGGTCATGCCCACAAGAGTTGTCTAGCCCTAGTCGGACACACTATCTAACCTGTTATTCCAGGTCATGCCCACAAGAGTTGTCTAGCCCTAGTCGGACACACTATCTAGCCTTAGTTCCAGGCCATGCTCTACGGTCTAGCATCAGTCAGCCACACTATCTAGCCATTAGATTGAGGCCAAGGTCTCACAATATGGTCTAGCATCATACAGCCCCACTATCTAGCCATTAGATTGAGGCCATGCTCTCACAATATGGTCTAGCATCAATCAGCCACACTATCTAGCCATTAAATTGAGGTCATGCTCTAACGATGGTCTAGCATCAATCAGCCCCACTATCTAGCAGATAGATTGAGGCCATGCTCTATGGTCTAGCATCAATCAGCCTCACTATCTAGCCATTAGATTGAGGTCATGCTCTAACGATGGTCTAGCATCACTCAGCCACACTATCTAGCAGATAGATTGAGGCCATGCTCTATGGTCTAGCATCAATCAGCCTCACTATCTAGCCATTAGATTGAGGCCATGCTCTATGGTCTAGCATCAATCAGCCACACTATCTAGCCATTAGATTGAGGCCATGCCCTAACTATGGTCTAGCATCAATCAGCCTCACTATCTAGCCATTAGACTGGGGCCATGCTCTAACTATGGTCTAGCATCATCAGCCTCAGTATATAGCCATTAGCTTGAGGCCATGCTGTAACTATGGCCTAGCATCAATCAGCCTCACTATCTAGCCATTAGATTGAGGTCATGCTCTAATGATGGTCTAGCATCAATAAGCCACACTATCTAGCCATTAGATTGAGGCTAAGCTCTCACAATATGGCCTAGCATCACTCAGCCACACTATCTAGCCATTAGATTGAGGCCATGCCCTAACTATGGTCTAGCATCACTCAGCCACACTATCTAGCCACTAGATTGAGGCCAAGCTCTAACAATATGGTCTAGCATCAATCACCTCCACTATCTAGCCTTTAGATCCATACTAGACATTATCTAGCCTTTAGATTCAGGCCATGCTCTCACATTGTGTTCTACCATCACTAACCTTCACTATCTAGCCTGCTATTCAATCCAAGCCCACACTACATTGTGTAGTACATTCTAGCTCTACTCAATCTGCCCGTGATGCTGATAGATCATGCTTCCTTTCTACGATATCTACATGACTAGCTTAGTCTAGCAAGCAGCAAGCAAGCCACAGCAACACAGCGCCACCTACCTGACTCTGCGTGAGCTGCACATTCTTCCCCATACGCGCTGCCGTCATTGCATTCTGGTCCAGAAGGTCACAGCTCTTTTGTCTCCGTGGGAGAGGGGTGGAGGCAGTCGTGGGCGGGGCATTCTGAGGGGGTGTGACTACAGTGGTGGTGGGAGGGGGAGCAGAGGGGGACACCCCCTGGGAAGAGGACAGCTCAGTATTCAGACTCTCTGTTGATGGGGACTCCGATATCATATAGTTGGCTGTCCGATGTTTCAGATGACACCGACTGCGGACCTCTTCTGACACCGACACTAAGGCTGAAGCAAGACATCAAATGTTTATTTTTCAAAACTGGATCACAAAAAATTTCAACAAATATTACCTGTACGAGCAGAAAAAAATAATTGAAATTGCAATCTTTAGCGCCATTGTCACCTGGAAGATTTGTTTTTTGTTGTTTTATTTTGGAGTGTGAGTGAGTTAAAATTAAGGTCGCATCGTCAGTATTTCAGCCATATAGCGACGAGACCAAGTTAATATATTCACAATGTAGTTATTTATGCAAAGCTATATTTAAAAACAATTTATGAAACATACTTGAGCATAACAATATCTTTTATTTCGGAAGAAAAAGGGAATTAATTTCGGCAAGTCTGTGTATCAAGCACAAGGGACATAACTCTAGACATATTATGCAAAGAATTTCTTGACTGAACAAGTTGGCCGAATATGTATGTCAAATTGAGCAACATATGTTCTACATCTGATCATTTTTTTTAAACACTGAGTAATCTCAAAATAATTTTGTGAGTGCAACGTTTCGACAGAAAAAGTATTTATAAATTTGGATTTTTATTTCTTTCCAAAGTTTGAGGAAAATAGGGTCAGCAGATCTGTGTTCCAAATGTTTTTTAAAAAGGTCAAAGAATCATATTGCTAGATTATTCCAGTCAACACAAACAACACAGTACTACCCACCTGCAAGGTATGCCACAGTCTGTGTGGTCACCTCAAACTTGTCCCTGACACTTGGTTTCACTGTAATACTGAGAAGCTGATGCAAGACGCGGATTGTCCGGGACACAGTCGTGGGGGATGGATGTCGGAATCCTGACACAGAGAAAAAAGTGCATTACATGACCAATCAGTCAAATCCAGATCCAAATACAAAAAAACAAACCTGAAATGGTCTCACCTGGGATACAGGCCAGCTACATCATCAAATCACAATATACTTGAAAACAGGACGACTGGTTCAGAGTCAGTTTGGTTTAATGCTGTTTTGAACAGTATTCGAGTTATAACGAGGCGTGTTAGTTTTATGTGGGAGGCAAGACCGGGGTGACATAGGTCTCAGACATCTACTACTTTGGTGAAATCACAAGCGTGGTTATGTTGCTGACAAACCAAGAAACATTATCATGTCAAACAGGGATTCGATCCCACAATCATAGGTTTCTGATGTGCCCAAGGGATGCAACTCTGCACAGCGCATTGCGGAGCCTTAGATGACTGGGCCACCCAGGCCTGTTCATAATCATGGCAACACGCAAGATGACAATTCTCAGCTACAAGATATTACAGAATCCCCACCTTTGAGTAAATGTCCAACCAGAGCAAAGTTGAAGTTGAACTGGAAGCTGAGGCCCATGTAGTGGTCCAGCTGCTTGAAGTGCCACTCCAGGGGCTCCCGCGTCTCCATCATGATCTTCTCCAGGGACTGCAAAATGACAAGCATGACATGAATGTTGACATGAACATGACAAGCATGACATGAACGTTGACATGAACACGACACGGGTGTACCATTGTTTAACACCATCATGCTGTTATCACCTATCACAGCTATTCTGTTCTCCTCTCCTACAGCAGCTATTCTGTTCTCCTCCCCAACCTACCTTTGTTTACAGGTTCTCCACTTAAAATAACACACAACAAACAACCTCGTTATTGTGTTCTCCTACCCAACCCACGACCAACACAAAAACCATCTATTCTGTTCTCCCCAGCCAAGTACCTGTCCCTAAAGATCCTCCACGTTTCAAAAATAAAAGAACCATACAATTCAGCTATTCTGTTGTCCTCCCCAACCTACCACCAACACACAATCCAGCTATTCTGTTCTCCTCCCCAACCTACCACCTGTTCCCAGGTCCTCCACTTTAAAAAACCCACCAACATACAACCCAGCTATTCTGTTCTACTCCCCAGTTTACAGCTCCTTACATGTGCTCCACTTTTAACAGCAACATACAAATCCAGCTATTCTGTTCTCCTCCCCAGCCAACCACCCACACATAACCCACCTATTCAGTTGTCCTCCCCGACCTACCTTCTTCTCGAACAGCCCCATGTTGTCCAGCGTGTGTAGGTTCTGCTCCAGCAGGGCAAGTCCCGCCGCGTACAATGACACTTCATCCAGCTGCAGTACTGAGATTGCCACCCAGAACAGGAACTTGTGGATTGGAGACTCCTGAAATATGTGACACAAGTATACCAATCTCCTTGTCTGATCGCAGAATAAAATTTCTTTGTTTTTTTAAACTGATAAGAAGTATCAAATTTAACTTAACCTATCATTGATGTACCTTTGAAACATGACGCCAACATTTATAGTAAATTACTAATTCAATATTCTGAGGGGAGGGTGAGGTGGGAGGGAATGGAGCTTGTCTGTCAACTGTGTATATGAGGCAACATTACATTTTCACTATTTTCAAGAATGAAGAAATCATCCATTCAAAAGAATCCAAGTTTCCCTGAGAGTAACGAATTGACAGTCCCTAAGCGTTATATATAAACAAGGGGGATGTACATGGACAAGCAGTTGAGGTGAGGTGAGGTGAGGTGAGGTGAGGTGAGGGGGGCTTAACATCATGTTCAAGAATATTGCACTCATATAGCTGTGTGTGAGTGAGTGAGTGACTGAAGAGAGAAAGAGAGAGAGACTGTCCAGACTAATGCCTTTTTAATATTCCTTGCCTACTCAGATACCATTCCTCAGTCTACTCGAATGACCCACTCAGACACAGCACACTGACTCCCGAGCCGACCAGTCCTTGTTTTAGCCCCTTAATGCCGAATGCCAGGCAGGGTAACAACAAGTACCACATATCAACTTCTTTTGATATGACATAGCAGGGGATCAAATTCCCAACCTTCACATCTCCAGGCAGTCGCCCTATCCACTAGACCACGGTGGCGGTCAGTCACCAAGGAGATGGACATTATTGCGTTACTCACCGCCTTCAGCATGGGTTGTAGTGGTCAGTCACCAAGGAGATGGACATTATTGCGTTACTTACCGCCTTCAGCATGGGTTGTAGCCTGGTGAGACACATGACGACAGCCTCGATCAACGTCAGGTCGGTGTAGGACTCCAGGGCCTGCAAACCAAACCATTGACTCATGTACGACTTTAGGCTAGTGCTCATTGTAGGCAAACTGGGAAAAAGAATCAACATTTTGTTCAAATATATCTCTCTGCTTAAACCTATTTACCTAAATTCTGAGGTATTTTAACGCTGAATCTTCAGTAACAATGTAAAACCAAGTACAAAAGTATCTTCCTCTTTATTGGTACTGGTATCCGTGATATACAAATGAGAGAAAGAGAGAGAGAGAGAGAGAGAGAGAGAGAGAGAGAGAGAGAGAGTGAGTAAGAGAGAGACACAGAGAGAGAGAGAGAGAGAGAGAGAGAGAGAGAGAGAGAGAGAGAGAGAGATTCAAGTGAACAAAGTAATCAGCTGGTTTTACATTTTGACACTTATTTCAAAGTTTACATGCATATTTTGCCCAAAACATTAAATGAAAAGCATGGATTATTAGTGTCATATAGGGCTTGTGATGACATTTCTTCCAAAGTTTTTTTATAAACAATGCTACTATACAGGCAACAGGCTGTGAAACTAAACACAGCTCCAGACCACACAACAGCAAACCACACTACTGAAGCCACAGTACAACAGCAAACAGGTATGAACTACTTGTGATAGCTCTACACATCTTGTTGCACAAATCACTCTAAAGTGGGACTGTGCGCAACTGGTTTTATAATGACTATTGCCTCACTTTCTATGTTAACCGAAACACCCCTAAATACTTCAACATGTAACAGAGCTCCAGATAACTTTTCGAGCAATTGAGTTTTTACTCGACGGTTTCTATTTTAATTGGCTTATTACATTTTCATTGGGTAACCAATATTTTTTCACTCGTCTATTCATCACTCTTCTGGGTTTTCCCTAAACTGAGAAAACATTTTGAGATTTAAAAAAAATGAAATAATGTTTTAGATGTATATAGGTAACAGTTCTCAATATAGGCTTGACTCGGAAAGTAAATTAGCTCGTATTTGTGTTTCAGAAATAACCTCCATTGTACGCATGCTGAAAAAGCTTCGTTGGGTATTTACGCGTGCTGTTTTTATACATTTAAGTTTTTCCTGTCATACCTGTGTTTCTGTACGCAAGTTAGTTGAAAGGAATAGGGTTGTTATATTTTGGGGGGGTATCTTACGCAAATACGCAGCTTATCTGTAGCGCTGATGTCACCATACTATAAAAAAGTGTTTAATTGAGGCACTGCAGCTCACATTATTGACTGATCATTCTTGACAACACATGCACAACATATAATGAATCCCACAACATTTATACATGACAAAGTCTGGTTTGGTATTCGTTTGTTTGTCGTTTAATGCTGCACTCGGCAATAATCCAGCTGTATGACTTTTAAACCCCTGCATAACATATTAAACATATAACATATGTTCAGACAAGTGGAGCGATGATATTGGACCAAGTGTTGATAATGAGTCTGCCTTAACTTTAGTTCATTATAAACTATACTAGTGAGTGAGTGAGTTGGGTTTTACGTCACTTTTAACAGTATTCCAGTTATATCAGGGCGTGTCAGCTTAATGTGGGAGGAAAGCCCGAAGTGATGCAGGTCTCAGACGTTTACCACTTCAGTGAAACTCAAAAGCACGGGTATGGTACTGACAAACCTAGAAAAGAAATCTGGGCGAACCCGGATTTGAACCCACAATCATAGGTTTCTGGCGTGCCCAAGGGACGCAACTCTGCACAGCGAATCGCGGCGCCTTAGACGACTGGGCCAGCCATGCCCCGGCGTAAACTATACTAAAGAGAATATATAGCTTTCCTTGTCAAAAACATGATTATCTTTTTGACTAACCTGTCAAACCGATATTTCCATGAGCCAGATATGCTACTTATTATTAATTTTGTTGATCTTAGTCTGACAAAAATAGATTAAAATTAGTCCCACAAAATGTGAATTGAGATTATTAGCCGTGTGTGTTTCGCCATCATAATTATCATATATCGGGGGATGGGGGTGTATTTATTTTATTCCTATTATATACTACTCAAAACAAGTAAAAGAACACCCACAATTGGAAGGCTGTGTTGCAATACCCACCAGCCATGACAGATTAAGTCAAAGTTGTTGCCATGGAAGCTAGAAAACAATTTTTTTAAATCCCAAACCATCAAAAAGCACCAGTTCACCACTAGACCTATGTATGTACAAAGTTTGGTTAAGATATGTCTCATGGTTTTGGAGTTCTGCTCCGGAAAGGAATCATGATGGATGGATGAAAGGATGGATGGACAGCACCAATTCCTATAGATATCCCTCTTCCACTTTTTGGCGGGGGATATAAATGTGGTGTCCTTTATCTTCTTTTGAGTTGTATGACAAAATAAGGTCTCACTGAACTTTCAACACATTTTCTAGACACCATATTTCCATCACACTATTTGCCAAGGGACAGGAGGGATGAGGGACAGTACAAGATTCCGGATGCTCTACTGGTCCCACAGAGCAGTGCAGCCAAAAATTAATCAAAATGTTAAGCTAAAATGAAAGTCATTCTTAAGCAGGGGAACAGAAAGAACAACAGGAGAGCAAGGGATCAGGTTCAGAACTATCAGAATTGCAGCAAGGATTACCGGACATGGGAAGCTCCATGTATTTTGAAAATTAAAAGGTTTGAACACCTGCAATAGAAAGAGAAACAAAAGCATGTATTAGACCATGACGATACAGCCCATGATAACAGTGTACCTCAATGCAAGATGGCTGGGTTCGTCGGGGGCCCATTTGGTCCTGTAGGGAGTCCGACTTCTCGCCGAAACTTTGCAGAGTACAGGTGTGGGTGAAGGTCAAGGAATAGGGAGGACGGCCCTGAAGAAGGGAGCAATCAGGTCGGGGTTATCAGGGCCAGGGCCTTGTGTCATAACTCATCTTATCACAACTACTGTTCATCTGTGTCATCATGTTTTGTTTGTTTGTTGTTTAACGCAGCTCTCAGCAATATTCCAGCTATTGGTAAATAATCGAGTCTAGACCAGGCAATCCAGTGATTGACATCGTGAGCACTGGGGTATGATGACACGTCATCACCCAAGTCACCTGATCCGTATATAATCGAGTCTGGACCAGACAATCCGGTGACTGACACCATGAGCATCGATGCATGAAATTGGATACGATCACATGCATCAACCAAGTCAGCAAGCATGACCACTCGATCCCATTAGTCGCCTCTTATAACAAGCTTAGTCGCCTGTTAAGGCAAGCATGGGATGCTGAAGACCTAAACTACCCCGGATCTTCACGGGTCTTGGGAGCAATGATCCACACCACTGGGGTATGATAACATGTCATCAACCAAGTCACTGAGCCTGACCACCCGATCCCATTAATCGCCTGTTAAGGCAAGCACGGGATGCTGAAGACCTAAACTACCCCAGATCTTCACAGGTCTTGGGAGCAATGATCCACACCACTGGGGTATGATGACATGTTATCAACCAAGTCACTGAGCCTGACCACAGGACTCTTTAAGTCACCTCTTTCGACCAGCATAGGTTGCTGGGGACCAAATGTAGCCAGGGATCCCCAGAAGGGCAGGTCCCCTGTACACAGGTGAGAGGATGCTTCTAGACTTACCTTCATCATGATCTTAAGGAGCTGCTTCACCTCAGAGTCAGTCACAGACTTACTGATGCACCCGAACACAATGATGGCCCTTGGCTGCAAGGCTGGGTTATACTGGAATGCAAATCTGAAAAAAGGAAAGCATCAATATGTTGAAGTGGTATCCATTTAACCTACATCATGGATGCCAATGTGTAGTCACATTAGGATGAAAGAAGTAAATGAACATCACAATAATAATCACGATATTAGACCTAATCTGTACAGGAAAGATCTCTCAAAGTTGGTCTGACCAAATGATCCCCTTACAAATATGTACACAATCAACTGCCATTGTGGCCATCTGATTCCCCTGGGGTACTGATGACCCATTCTGTGCCAAGGTATCAACAGCCATCGTGGCCACTGGATTCCCCTGGGGTACTGATGACCCATTCTGTGCCCGGGTACCAACAGCCATCGTGGCCACCGGATTCCCCTGGGGTACTGATGACCCATTCTGTGCTAAGGTACCAACAGCCATTGTGGCCATCTGATTCCCCTGGGGTACTGATGACCCATTCTGTGCAAAGGTATCAACAGCCATCGTGGCCACTGGATTCCCCTGGGGTACTGATGACCCATTCTGTGCCCGGGTACCAACAGCCATTGTGGCCATCTGATTCCCCTGGGGTACTGATGACCCATTCTGTGCCCGGGTACCAACAGCCATCGTGGCCACCGGATTCCCCTGGGGTACTGATGACCCATTCTGTGCCCGGGTACCAACAGCCATCATGGCCACCGGATTCCCCTGGGGTACTGATAACCCATTCTGTGCCAAGGTACCAACAGCCATTGTGGCAACTGGATTCCCCTGGGGTACTGATGACCCATTCTGTGCCAAGGTACCAACAGCCATCGTGGCCACTGGATTCCCCTGGGGTACTGATGACCCATTCTGTGCCAAGGTATCAACAGCCATTGTGGTCATCTGATTCCCCTGGGGTACTGATGACCCATTCTGTGCCCGGGTACCAACAGCCATTGTGGCCACCGGATTCCCCTGGGGTACTGATGACCCATTCTGTGCCCGGGTACCAACAGCCATTGTGGCCATCTGATTCCCCTGGGGAACTGATGACCCATTCTGTGCCAAGGTACCAACAGCCATTGTGGCCATCTGATTCCCCTGGGGAACTGATGACCCATTCTGTGCCAAGGTACCAACAGCCATTGTGGCCATCTGATTCCCCTGGGGTACTGATGACCCATTCTGTGCCAAGGTATCAACAGCCATTGTGGTCACTGGATTCCCCTGGGTTACTGATGACCCATTCTGTGCCCGGGTACCAACAGCCATTGTGGCCATCTGATTCCCCTGGGGTACTGATGACCCATTCTGAGCCAAGGTATCAACAGCTATCGTGGCCACTGGATTCCCCTGGACTACAGGGCACCTATAATGTGCCAGGCTAACAACAAACATGATGACAAGGCTGACTTAAATCTGAAGCAAGTCTCAATACTTTCTCACAGCATACTGGCAAGGCAACATCTAACACTAATGCCTCTGCTCTACTCACCTCTTGGCTAGGTCTGTCCACTGCTGTAACCACTCACAGCTGGGGATATCCTTCATACAGGCCTGTGGGGAATAACAGTGTATATTAGAGCACTGGAATAGGTATTATGGTGGACCCATCATACAAGCCTTTTGGGAATAACGGTCAATATTACGCCATTGGAATAGGTCAGGATTTTGAAAACATAATACAGGACTGTAGAAATAGTGTAAAATAGGGCACTGGAGTAGGTGTTACAGTGGACACATCACAAAAGTCTGTGGGGAATAACGGTCAAAATTGGAATAGGTCAGATATTGAATACATCATACAAGTCTGTGGAAATAGCAGTGTATATATATGATTGCTCTGGAATAGATCAGATCTTGGACACATCATACATCACCCCCCACCGTTCCAGCTTCTGAATCTCCAGGGCTCACCTTTCAGTAAATCTACACTTGACCCCTGGATCCATTCCCGTGGTTCTCGTCATCTTAAATCTTGATTGTTGTTACTATTTTACCGACCAATCAAACGTCACAATAAGGGAACAAAATGGGAAAGGGAGATGGACATAAAATAACCACTTCTTTTGTGTGTCAGTCTGTTTTTTAATGTTGAACTTCTCGCAAACTCTATTGTAAACATGGGACTGGACACCATGTTGTTGATGTTGCCAGCCCAACTTAAGGCTAGTTTGTAACTTGCATTCTGACTGGACTAAGTCGCGAAGCAAATCAAATAAGCTAACGAAAATCAAGGGCAGATAATTTCAGATCGCGAGAACCACGGGAATGGAACCAGGGCTGAGTGTAGGTTTACCGAAGCACTGGAGATATAGAGGATGTCACTATCCCCGGCCCTCCTGTAACTCCCTGCTTCATCCATGACATCCCTACCTCCATGATCTCCAGCAAGGCGTCGGCGATGGCCTCGAGAGAACTTAGAGGCATCTTCTCATTCTCGGGCGGCGACATGGTGAATGATCTATCCCCCGGGCGGTAACTGGTCCTGAAGGCACTGACGGCCGCTGACTTAACTTTGCTGATCCCAAACAGCTGGTAAAACTTAGGGAGTGAAAACTCCGCCAGACTCAGCTTGAGTACCTGGAGGGTGCTCTCTGGGGAGAGAGATCGATTGTCTGAATTTGGGCTCTCTGTGTGTGGAATATTGATACTTGTTAAAGACAGGAAAAGCATGGCGTTTGGCGGAATCAGATCATGTAGCGATGTGATTCCTTGACATGGGTATCTAACACAAGTATAGAAGCTCTTTTAGTGATGAGGATGATTTAATCACATATTCCTGCTAATAATGTAATGCAGGGATTTATCTAGAACTTCTCTGAGGCTTACATTTGGCCCTAAATGTGCAGAAATGCCAGTAGAGGTACCCAAATTGGAGTGAGTGCGTTTTAACGCCGCTTTTAGCAATGTTCTAGCAATATCACTGCGGGGGGACACCAGAAATGGGCTTCACACATTGTACTCATGTTGGAAATCGAACCCGGACCTTCAGCGTGACGAGCGAACTCTTTAACCACTAGGCTATCCGACCGCCCCTCCAAATTGGAATAAAAGTTATAATATGAGTAGTTGTATCTAAAATGGTATCTCTTTACAGCGGTAACTTGTATTACCCTGGCAACAGGACATACAATGAGCAAGGGGCTTTAATGCTTAGGTTTTGATATTTCATTCAAAATCAATTTTACACATGTACATCAAACTTTAAGAAAATAGTAATGTTTAGAAAATCCCACTTGTGAACAAAATACCGATTTTTTTTCCTTGCCTGACAGAGGTACTTATATTGGAATCTCAGATAAATCCCTGCAATATCATCCATAGTTTGAGACAAGCAAACATATACTATTGTAAAAGCATAATAAAATTTGTATGAATCCTGAATCACAAACTCCCTTATTGGAGATTTTGTATGATGTTAATGAATAGTCATAAAGCTCATACTGGCAGCTCATTAATATAGATACTTAGCCAGAGATTATTCCATGTACCATTTGCTAGTATTGAAACAATTGCTACAGAAAGAATTGTAAGGCCAAAAAATAGTCTTGGTTCTCAGGCACCCCCGCATCAACATAAAGTTCGCCACAGGTTTCGTTTTTATTTCCTTTTTAAAAATTCAAATAAGTACTTAAATATTCCAGACCAACGGTAGCCAAATTCTGTATTCCACTATCAAGGAATACTCATCAAGGAATACGTTCATATAGGAAGACCCTTTCCCAGGTGGGTTGTACATAACTGTTTATTTGGTTACATAACTGTTTATTTGGTCACATTATTTGGAACGACCAAAAAGAAACCAAAACACGCCCACCCACATTATATTTTCAAGAGCCATTGCCTGAGAACCAATTCTTTCATTATTTTTTATAGCCTAATGGAAACAAGCAGTTAAACAACAACTTGCACAATTGACACAGGTCTGAACTCACCCCCAAAGTGTAGTTGTGAACATGTGCAGAGTGAGTGGATGATGTTGATGACGAGGCCGTGCGTGGACGCCCGCAACGACAGCGGTCCCGTGGAGACTAGCAGAGTAACGATGTGGAAGAGGAATGGGAGGTGACTAGCAACTGAAACAGAAGATAGGCAGGCTCATTGATGGACACAAATCTTACCAACATGAGGAGGAACTGGAAAATACACGTTGACAGATCAGTTGATCCTTGGGCTGGGATCTTTTTTTAAAACATATTGTCTGTTACCAAAATTAGGGGGTTTCTGATCTGACAAGATCACTCTGTGGAATGAGGCCATGAAGCCGAGAGTAAAGTATGGGAGTGTTATCTTCTTAGATCTAAGATCACTGTGTGGAATGAGGCTCTGAAGCCAACAGTCAAGTATGGGAGTGTTATCCTCTTAGGTCTAAGATCACTGTGTGGAATGAGGCCCTGAAGCCAACAGTCAAGTATGGGAGTGTTATCCTCTTAGATCTAAGATCACTCTGTGGAATGAGGCCCTGAAGCCAACAGTAAAGTATGGGAGTGTTATCCACTTAGATCTAAGATCACTCTGTGGAATGAGGCCCTAGGTGACTCCAATAGTAAAGTATGGGAGTGTTATCCTCTTAGATCTAAGATCACTCTGTGGAATGAGGCCCTGAAGCCAACAGTAAAGTATGGGAGTGTTATCCACTTAGATCTAAGATCACTCTGTGGAATGAGGCCCTAGGTGACGCCAATAGTAAAGTATGGGAGTGTTATCCTCTTAGGTCTAAGATCACTCTGTGGAATGAGGCCCTGAAGCCAACAGTAAAGTATGGGAGTGTTATCCACTTAGATCTAAGATCACTCTGTGGAATGAGGCCCTAGGTGAAGCCAGTAGTAAAGTATGGGAGTGTTATCCTCTTAGATCTAAGATCACTCTGTGGAATGAGGCCCTGAAGCCAACAGTCAAGTATGGGAGTGTTATCCACTTAGGTCTCAGACGGTTTTGTAGGCCCTGCTTACCATCAAGTGAGTTATTGAAAGACAACATGAGGAGGTAGCGAGCCAGGATGGCGATGTCGTCCCACATCAGATGCTGCTCCAGTGTAGGTGTGGGTGACGTGCATGTCTTGTCTATCAGCTGCAGAGACAAAAAATACCGGCATAAGGGTGGGCCTGCTCATAATGCTCTTTTACAACTACAAGATACAAGAAGCTTTCGCTAAAGTCAGTTATTCAAGCAAAACATATATAACCTCTTAACAGCTATTATTCCAACACAAAAAGCTATTATGCAATCATTTAAAAAGAAATTCAAATTCAAATTAACATAGCACACACAGGAAAGAAGTTATTTCCCGCCTTGCGCTTGCAAGAGCACTTAGCAGTAGGACACTATTGTCTGCACAACTGTTAATGGATAGTTGACAGTGAAGAGGACTTCTGTTGAAAATCTAAAGATTTTTATCATGTGGTGACAACAAAATACAGGGTTAGGCAGCGATGTAATCGAGGTAGGATATTCGCATGAACTATTCAGATTCAAATTAACCTCTAATCACACAACACTAAAGTATCTAGTCCCATGTAGTCACTGGTTACAGGCCTGCTGTATAACAACCGAGACTGACCCTGCAGAGGCGACCGATGACCTTCCGAGACACCAGCTGGACATTGGCAGAGGTGAGTGCCACTGCTGTGTCCGCCATTATCTCCGCCTGTATGGACCCCAAACCACCCGTGACACTTCTCTGAAAACAAATCAATCAGCATAAAATGTCTGTCAAATCCATATCTCATTCAACAATTGAGGTCACAAAATAAACTTACACTGACATTCTAGACAAGATAAATACAATCAAGGTGCAAGGTGAAACATTTCAGAATTGGATCGATCCTCACCTGTGAAATATCATACAGATCAGTTTGGGTAAGGAGTGACTGAATGGATATCGAATAACGCCGCGGCATTTTTTATGAACGAATAATTTGAGCACATAATGAGCCAGGTTACACCTTGTAACAACTCCATTTTCCTTAGACAAACCTTATGACAAGCAAGGGGCACTAGGACATATTCAACCTTGAATACCCATATCAGCCTTTGTCAACCCTTATGACAAGCAAGGGGTACTGGGACATATTCAACCTTGAATACCCATATCAGCCTTTGTCAACCCTTATGACAAGCAAGGGGTACTGGGACATATTCAACCTTGAATACCCATATCAGCCTTTGTCAACCCTTATGACAAGCAAGGGGTACTGGGACATATTCAACCTTGAATACCCATATCAGCCTTTGTCAACCCTTATGACAAGGGACATATTCAACCTTGAATACCCAGGTCAGCCTTTGTCAACCCTTAAGACAAGCAAGGGGCACTGGGACATATTCAACCTTGAATCCCAGGATGTGAAGTGCTGCTGGTTTTCCATACCTTGATGAAGCTGTCTAGCACCATGTCGAGGAGGTCCCCGATCTGACCGATGTTGCCCCAGATCTTGGCCTGGATGGATGGGTACATCTGGCGGGGAAGAGGGTCACATATAACACAGCTCAAACACATATGACATGTACTAAGTGTAATTATGGCAAGCACTGGGCACTGGGACAAATGTCATTTTTGTCTACAAAATTGTTCCTCTGCTTGAGTAGAAATTTAGTATCTATTGATTTATATGTTTACTGGAACGATTTTGAAACATTATTTAAAAAAATTATAATCAAACATCATTTTGCATCCTTCATATTGATATACAAAATCTGTTCAATCAGAAAACTGATTTATGATTTCCAGTTTGCACAAGACAAACATGAGACTGGCTTCAGGACTGCCATTGCTCACCTCTTCTTCCTCTATCGTCATGGTGATGAGTTTGTCAAGTATGAGCGCCACCTTCTGCCTCTTGTTTTCATCACACTGCTTACAGAACCTGACACAAACAACACAACCGTGATTACAAAGACATCCACTGCTTACAGAACCTGACACAAACAACACACCTGTGATTACAAAGACATCCACAGCTTACGTAAGGTGGGAAATTGGATTTAATGTCATGTCAAGATTATTGCACTTTTATTTTTTCACAGCAAAGTGAACGTGTATATGTGGTTTCTTGTATCAATCCAGACATTTTATTATAGTGCTTCTCACTGAGATACCATGCCGTAGTTTAACATGATGATGATGATGATGATAATGATGATGATGATGATGTTTGTTGTTTAACGCCGCACTCAGCAATATTTCAGCTATATGATGGCAGTCTGTAAATAATCGAGTCTGGACCAGACAATCCAGTGATTGACATCATGAACATCGATCCATGTGATTGGGATACGATGACATGCATCAACCAAGTCAGCGAGCCTGACCACCCGATCCCGTTAGTTGCCTCTTACGATAAGAGTAGTCGCAGAATATGGCAAGCATGGGTTGCTGAAGACCTATTCTCACCCGGATCTTTACAGGTGAAATCCTAATGTTATTCTGCTTTTATGACAAGAGTTCTGTTTTACTTGTTTGTTTACCTCCCCACTCAGCAATATTCCACCTATATGATGGCAGCCCAGTGACCAATATTGTGAGCAACGACCTATGCAATCAGGGTACAAGGACACACTATCAACCAAGTCTCTACGCTCTACTTCATCACCTCTTGCGACCGGCATAGGTTCCTAGGGACCGATTCTAACCCAAATCCCCACAAGGGCATCTGTTGTGACTATACCTGGTCAAGTTGGGTTGCTGGGGACCTATTCTAACCCCAATCCCCACAAGGACTTTTGTGACTCTACCTGGTCAAGTTGGGTTGCTGGGGACCTACTCTAACCCAAATCCCCACAAGGGCATCTGTTGTGACTATACCTGGTCAAGTTGGGTTGCTGGGGACCTATTCTAACCCAAATTCCCACAAGGACTTTTGTGACTATACCTGGTCAAGTTGGGTTGCTGAGGAACTATCCTAACCCAAATCCCCACAAGGACATCTGCTGTGACTATACCTGGTCAAGTTGGGTTGCTGGGGACCTACTCTAACCCAAATCCCCACAAGGACATCTGTTGTGACTATACCTGGTCAAGTTGGGTTGCTGGGGACCTATCCTAACCCAAATCCCCACCAGGGCATCTGCTGTGACTATACCTGGTCAAGTTTGGTTGCTGGGGAACTATCCTAACCCCAATCCCCACCAGGGCATCTGTTGTGACTATACCTGGTCAAGTTGGGCAGCCAGGGTGTGATGTACTCCAGACACAAGTGCTTCATCTCAATGTTGGAGTTCCCAAAGCCCTGGATACACTCTTCCAAGAACTCCAGCGTCAGGTGCGGCTCCTTCTCAGCCAGCTTCTCACTGATGGACTTGATGAAGATGGTGTTGTTGGCAGGAATACACAGACCTGCACACACAAAGGTAGAGGAGAAAGTGAGTAAATGCATCGTACACAACAGTCAGAAACAATTCAGCAATGTCTCAGCAGCGTGTCAATAATCTGTTAATAGTCAATGACCTGGGTCAGCTGACGATCAAACAGTGTTTGTTTTGTTGCTTAACTCCGCTCTCAGCAATATTCCAGCAAGATGATGGCAGTCTGTAAATGAATGAGTCTGCAGGTAACTCTATTGAGGTAACTCTGATGATCAATAGAATAGAGACTTGCTGTAAGGAGCTTGCAATAATGATTACTAAGGGAGGTCACTCTTACCATTGGTCTCTAGTAGTTGACCTTCTATCTAAGGGAGGTCACTCTTACCATTGGTCTCTAGTAGTTGACCTTCTATCTTCAGGTCGAAGGTCTGGGTGAGAGCACACAGCAGGTTGTAGGCAGCTGACCGGAGACTGGGGTCCGAGCTGCCCAGATTCAGGAGAGCCTGGACACAAGCAAACAAAGCAAAGAGTGAGTGAGTGACCAGAATGGGCTTCACACATTGAACCACCCATGTGGGGAATGGAACCCAGGCCTTCAGCATGACGAGTGAATGCTTTAACCATTAGCCTACCCCATGGCCCCTAAAATAGAATAGCAGTCAGACAATACAGAGTGATTACTACCAGATGTTCTCACAATGATGTGACCACAAAAGCAACAAATTTTAGGATTCAAAGTGAAAGAGCGTTTCTGTGATATATATCGTGAACGTTTACTCACCACGTTCAGTAGCGTTCCGGGCACATCCTTAGGGCGGATCTTTGTATGAACTGCCACAGTGTCCTGAGGAGGAAAACACACAAATCAACAGAGTTGCAAATAACAGCCCCTCCCGCCTGCCCAACAGTCCATGACAGTCTATTTTGATGACAGAGGGTCCGTTTTGAAAAGTTGCACGCCTGATGGTCAAGAGTTAAAGTTACTAACTTGACAATCCACCATATTAGTATTTTTTTGGAAGTTACATTAAACAGTACTATTCTTATGTTTACCCTTTTATAACTTGTGCTCATTAGTGTAATAAAATTCTAGACTGGCAGTATTTCATCTGGTAAATTTGCAAAGTTGCCAGTCTGGGTGTCTGAATGACGTTTTGGGGATTTTTTTTACACTGGCTTTGTAGAGACTTGTACTTTACCAACAACAGGACCAATGAGTGAGTGAGTATGGTTTTACACCGCTTTTGGCAATATTCCAGCAATATCACGGTGGGGGACACCAGAAATGCGCTTCACACATTGTACCCATGTCGGGAATTGAACTCTGATCTTTACCGTAACAAGCGAACGCTTTAACCACTATGCTACCCAACCGCCCCACAGGACCAATGAAGAGGAATGAAGATGCTTTAAAGCTTAGTTTTACACTATTGCATTGTATGCAATGTAAAAATGCGCCCAAATTTAGATATTCAATATAGCATAACACAAGTAAATGTTGGTTAACCTATCTGGATGTACTTAGATCTTACCGGCTGTGAGAGTTCCCAGCGAGTCCTGATATGTATGATGGCTTGGACAATGTTATCACAGTCATTGTGTATGAAAGACAAAGGGCCACTCTCATTGGCGATAGTCAGTGTGAACTGATTGTCGTCTACTAGACACACCTGGAAGACAATATGAGTACTGTGTTAGGACATGATAAATCGCTGCCATTTCACAAACCTTTGAATATAAATCCACAAGCAATAGCTGGGTAGTGCTGAATGCTGTCATAACTGTTCCAATGTCAGTGTGTAATTTCGCCGTCAGCAATAATCCACGTGTATCAAGGCTGCATGTTCATAATCAAGTCTGGACCAGACAAACCAGTGATTCATATTATGATTTGTTTGTTTGTTTGCTTTTTAATGCAACACTTATCAATATTCTAGCTATGACAGCAGCCAGTAAATTGAGTCTGGACCACACTTTCCAGTGATTGAATTCAGTTTAACATGGATACCCCACTCAGACACAGTATATTGGAACAGGTCCTTATTTTATCCCCTTAATGCCAAGCTCCAGGCAGGTAACAAAACAAGTCTTTTAACATCTTTTGCAATGATACAGCTGGATATCAAACTGACCTGCTCTGCAGGCAGAGGCTCTACAAACCCGACCACAAAGCTAAATTGTGGGTTAACACAAAGACATTGCCGTCTCCCAGCATGGACAGTGGCAGTCTCACCTCCTCTATTTCCGCAGCATAGTAGACATCATTAAGGAGAACCTGGTGTCCCAACACTCTGCTCTTCTCCGAGGACGTCACCTGGATGGCATTTGGACCAACCTGGAATACACATGCAACACAAACAAGTGTGAGGGTACATAGAGCTTACATCAACAGTGGCGGTCAGATACCATTTATTTTACAAGTTTATTTCAAAACTTATCTAACACTGCAGCATAGGAGTTGGTTGACAACCCCCTGCCATACTTCTTCTCAGGAAATAACAACTAATTACTTGACAAGACTAAGGCTAAAAAAATAATAGTCTTGGCACTGCTCGCATCATTATAAGGTCTGCCACATGTTTTGTTTTTATTTCTATATTTAAAAATTTAACAGCATCACGACATCACCCCATTATGACATCACTCAAAAAGTATTCTTTATTGTAGGATAAAATATCTTCAGTGCCTTTGATCATTTTGAAAAGAATCTTACAAAAGTCCAGCTATGTTGGCATCGGAGTCATTTAATGAAAGTTTACCTTTATGGCAACCTTAGTGTCTTTATGGGAAAGCTTGAGAGCATTGTTGAACACTCTGAGATCCTCCTCCAGGGAGACAGTTGTCCCTGGCAACTTCTGCTGGTCAGGGTCGATGTATTCGTTCAACTTGGCCGGATGATCGATGAAGTTAAGCTTCCGGTTGTTCTGTCAAGAAAGACGCTTATATTCTTATACCCCCTTGAAGTGCAGCTGCTACTGTACGATGTAGTAATAGTCAAACTTGAAGATGTATAGTGAGATTGTAACCAATTGTTCAGATGTGATCAGCAATGTTTCTCTGCTTGTTTACATCTGGACGCACAGGAAAGAAGTGATGGATTCCCGCCCTGCGCATGCGCAGTTGCGTTTCCTGTCAGGGATAGGACTTACCTCACAACTATATAGATAGATTGACAGCAAAGAGGACGTCTGTTGACAATTTAAATTGATGTATAGTGTGATTGACAGCCAAAATATGAACTTATGGCAATGATGTAATTGAGGTAGGGTGTTCAAAGGAAGTAGACATTTATAATTCGTTTCAGAGTGAGTGTTATAAGACTGAGGAACCTGGATTTAACACCACTCAGTGTTTTAGTATATCAAATAAAAGTAAAGTGCTCAATTCAGTTTGACTGTTGTTTAACAGTGCAGTCAGCAATATTCCAACAATGTCACAGCATCCTAAAGGTAATCAAATCTAGGTAAGACAAAAACAGTGGTTGACATCATGAGCAACACATCACACCTTTTGGGTCAACAAGCCACATTATTTGATCAAATTAGGCCGCCATTTTGGACAAAAAATTGAGATGAAATGGTGAAAAAAGGTGAAATGGTTTACCACCACGTTCAAGATTATTGCAGAGGTCAATTAACATGTGCCATAACAAAAGGTTGAGTGAATTCACCGGAAGCAGCCAACAAGCTTGACAAAAACAAAACTTTGACACACCACCTTCCAACTGTAATATCCCTAACGAACAATGTTACAAACCTGTCAAGATTTGGGTTCGAACAGGTTTTCAGCAACCCATGCCTGATGTAAGAGCCGACTAATAGGATCGGGTGGCCCGGCTTGTTGACTTGGTTGATGCATGTCATCGTACCCAAATTGATGCTCATGATATCAATCACAGACCGCTGTCATACAGCTAGAATATTGCTGAGTGCGGAGTAAAAGAATAAACAAACTAAACAAATGTTACAAGTGTTAATCTACTTACATAGTTGACGCGAAGAGGTGCGAGGATGCGATCGTGATACTTGGTGTATTCGCGTACCCAGGAGTTGCAGTTGTAGATGTAGGCGGCGACGATGTTCTGGTACACGTTCTCTGGCATCACCACAAACCACTTTGACAGGAAGTCGGTCTGAAACAAACAACAAGTAGACAGACTCACACAACCCTTGAACCTGGGCACGGTACCACAGTGCCTCATCAGTCAAAACATTTAAATGGAAGGTGATCAAAATTACAGTTTGATTGATAGGACAAAATGAAAGAATAATGAAAAGAACATTTGCACATTACATAATATACTACTCAAAGAAGTTAAAGAACACTCAAGAATACTTTTTCATATTACTATAGTTATTCTGTCACTCAGTTCTTTCATATTACTATAGTTATTCTGTCACTTGATGCTTTACTTGGTGAGAATGTTAGCAAGAAGCAGACAAATATTTAGTTTGTTAGCATACAGGGTACATTGCATTCATACAAAATCCAGTCACCATCACACTAAGACCAGAATATAGCATTAAGCTTACCAGATATTACAATACTCTGGAGGAACCTTCACCAGACATACAAGCAGAGCAGCACTCACCAATCATGCAGAGCAGAGCTCACTATTCATGCAGAGCAGCACTCACCAATCATGCATAGCAACACTCACCAATCAGGCAGAACAGAACTCACTAATCATGCAGAGAAGCACTCACCAATCATGCAGAGCAGAGCACACTAATCATGCAGAGCAGCACTCACCAATCATGCAGAGCAGAGCTCACTAATCATGCAGAGAAGCACTCACCAATCATGCAGAGCAGAGCTCACTAATCATGCAGAACAGAACTCACTAATCATGCAGAGAAGCACTCGCCAATCATGCAGAGCAGAACTCACCAATCATGCAGAGCAACACTCGCCAATCATGCATAGCAGCACTCACCAATCACCCAGAGCAGCACTCGCCAATCATGCAGAGCAGCACTCACCAATCATGCAGAGCAACACTCACCAATCATGCAGAGCAGAACTCACCAATCATCCAGAGCAGCACTCACCAATCATGCAGAGCAGCACTCGCCAATCATGCAGAGCAGAACTCACCAATCATGTAGAGCAGCAATCACCAATCATTCTGAGCAGAACTCACCAATCATGCAGAGAAACACTCACCAGTCATGCAGAGCAGCACTCACCAATCATGCAGAGCAGAACTCACCAATCATTCTGAGCAGAACTCACCAAGCATGCAGAGAAACACTCACCAATCATGCAGAGCAGCACTCACCAATCATGCAGAGCAACACTCACCAGTCATGCAGAGCAGCACTCACCACCAATCATGCAGAGAAGATCATGCAGGAGAATAAACAGTGGAACATACCATACTTACCCTGAATCGATTCTCAGAGCATGTGTGGGTGAAGTCTATGACCAGCTCGAAGGGCTTGTGGTAGAAGGGCTTGAGAGTGAGCAGCACATGGTAGATCAGAAGATCTCCATTAATTTCACCCACTCTGAAACAGGAGTGAGGGAGTTGGTTTTAGAGTCCCTTTGAACACTATTCCTGTTATATCACAGCGTGTCAGCTTGATGTGGGAGGAAAGCAGGTCTCACACTTTTACCACTTTGGCGAAGCCCACGAGCATGGCGATGGTACTGACCTAGAAACACTATCAGGGCGAACCAGCATTCTAACCCACCATCATAGGTTTCTGGTGTGCCCAAGGTACAAATGAAATCTTTACACAGCAAATTGTGTCACCTTAGGCGACTGCCCCCGCCACCCGCCACACCCCAGTCTTTGAAGGAAGAAGCAACATTGGCAACACCAGATGTTTTACAGATGGATAGAAAGTCAAAAGATCACAAAACATGAATACATGAACACCGCTGGTAAATACCCAGTAGAAATGAGTATTCTAAGTTTCCAATTTTAAACTGGTGACCCAAGCAGTTACTGACTTGTATCTCCTGGCGATGTAGTAGAAGACAGGATTTCCTCCCTTGCTCGTTCCTGCCTGATAGAAGATGTGTTGGTTCTTCAGAGACTTGAACTCATCCTTCTCGTGCATGTTGTGCTTGGACATGATCTCCTCAAACTTGGTGCTTGTCATGTCCATACTGCTCCACCTTGTGGCAGACAAGGGAAGGAAATACATGTAGCAGTTATACAAGTGAGAAAGTTTTACCATTATTCCAGCCATATCAAAGGTGTTACACATTATACCCAGGTGGCGAGTTGAACCCAGGCCTTTGGTGTGCTGAACCAACACTATGACCACAAATCTACCCAACCACCCCTACAGCGATACATTATTGGCAACCTTACTAGGGCCAGACATTTTTCAAACTTGGATTACGAATCCACCGACTCGAAAAACTGAAATGTGAAAAAAATAAAATTGAAATGCAATGGGTTTCTTAATTCTTCTGACCTGAAATAAGTAAAATGTATCAAAATAAGTCGCTATCAAACTAAATAAAATATTTCAAATACTATCATTAAAACCTATTGAAAATTTATCTTAAAAACTACTTAACATTTTGAGGAAATCAAGAAGAAGAATTTGAGGAAAAAAACTTAAAAATATAAAAAAAGACAAAAAGTAGTGTCCATCTATTGTAAATGCCTGACATTTATCATCAGCAGAAACCTCACATTTCCAGTCTCTGTTGCTTGTTTCCTTTTTAAGAGCTTGGTCTACCGTTCATTCAACCCAAGATTTTACAAATTTGGAAAAGAAGAAATGTTTTGAACACTTTTCTCCTGCCAACACTAACCAATTAATATATAAATATAATAAAGTTATAGGACAATATGAGAAGGGCTGTAACTATTTGACTGTGCATTAAAAGCACCCAGCTCCAATAAGTGCCCCCTCCCCCAGCCAACTATCATGTCACCTCTTATGACCAACGATAGGTTGCTGAGGACATTCTCTGATCCAGATTCCACAGGGGTTCAATGTGTAGCTGTGTCCCTTACGAACCTAAGACTGAAACAAAACCTCCGTTATTCCCACTGTTCGTTTTGTTAGTTTCTTGTATAACACTGCACTCAGCAATATTCCATGAAATTACATAGGTCTGTAAATAATTGAGTCTGGACAATCCAGTGATTGATATCATGAGAATTGATCACACTGGACACAATGATATACAGCAACAAGTCAGAGAACCTGACCATTAGTCGCCCCTTATGACAAGCAAGGGTTGCTGAAGACCAATTATATCACGGATTTTAAACCACTTATTTAAATGTAACCAAAATCTATATGACCTTTCCATGTGCTGAATTCTATTTTGATGATACTGCCTTAATAAATTAATGTAACGTTCATCCCTGCGACCACACATCAATATATTGTCTACAAGAACATACAAAGAAAATTGGTATGTGTTCACTTCCTTATTAGCTCTTTGAAATACACTGAGTTTTATAACACTTTCAGCCATGTTCCAGCCATATCATGGATGGCAACAGCAATAATCGGCTTCACACATTACTAGTGTGGCAGAATCCAACCCAAGACTTTGCCATGATGAACACTTTATCCCCTAGCCTACTAAAAGCTCAAAGATTGTTGTTTGTTGTTTGGTTGTACTCCACAATATATCTGCTATAGATTGTCTGTAAATAATCGAGTCTGGACCAGACAATGCAGTGATTGGTATCATGAGCATCGATCCACACAACAAAGAGATACAATGACATGCAATCAACCAAGCCACAGAGCCCGGCCACCCGATCGCCTTCAACGACAAGCATAGGTTACTGGGGACCTGTGTTCTTACCTGGACCCACTTGTACAAAGCGATCTTAGTGCTAAGATGATCGAAACTCCCATGCTTTAACATAGGCTTACGTTGGTCTTAGCGCTAAGAGTGATTTGTGCAAGTGGGCACTGGAATCCCAACAGGTGTATGTAGGATGATGATGATGATGATGATGATGATGATGATGATGATGATATAATGACTCTATTTAGTTTTCTGTGAGACATGGGGACTGTTTGATAACTAATGTTAAGATGTGGGCTACATAAGCAATGAGAAGCAAGCTAGATCCCAAACCTGCAGAAACACATCTAGCGAACAGTTCTATTTCCTTGTAACAACACTACTGTTCTGGGTCCACTTGCACAAAGCTATCTTAGTGCTAAGATGACCATAACTCCCATACTTTAACATAGGCTTACGATAGTCTTAGCGCTAAGATTAATTTGTGCAAGTGGGCCCAGGTCTTCAAGAGGAAATGAGGGTCTTCTGCATTGCTAGTACACCAGTGGCAGAAAGGTGTGTCAGCATTCATCGATGCCATATGGATATGATGGCACCTGAGTGTTTGTTTGTTTGTTTGTTTGTTGTTTAACTCAGCAATATTCCAGCTACATGACAACAGTCTGTAAATAATTAATTGGAATCTGATGACATGCATCAACCAAGTCAGCGAGCCTGACCAACCGATCCCGATAGTCGCCTCTTCTGACAAGCATGGAAGACCATGCTGAAGACCAATTCTATCCCGGATCGTCACGGGTGGCACCAGAGTGAATGATCTTTGACATCATATGCAGCAATATTCCAGCCATATCGCAGGAGGGGGGTACACGAGAAATGAGCTTCACACCGTCTCCTTGGAATAGTATTGGGTTTCCAACTAAACTTAGATTCATGGATGTAAAACCTGATTTTGAAGTGTTGCTGACACTTCTCAGACTCATGAAGGAGAAAGAAGACCAACCGTGACATCCAAACCCACATGACACCCAAACCCACCCACCGTAACCCAAACCCACCCACACGACACCCAAACCCACCCACCCGACACCCAAACCCACCGTAACCCAAACCCACCCACCGTAACCCAAACCCACCCACACGACACCCAAACCCACCCACACGACACCCAAACCCACCCACCCAACACCCAAATACACCCTTCTTATCATACATTATGGTGATATGGTCATGTGTACCACATCTTCTAAAAATTCGGTATCCACTCTGCATACACTCAATATGCTGGCACTTGACATTATTTGGAGGAAACATTGTTACAAAGGAGACAGTTCACTCACTGAGAGTCTAGGGGCCGATGCTCTGGGGGGCCCAGATACGCCAACAGTGTTGCCATTTTGTCAAATGGTCGTCTTCCCACAGCCTTGTGATCCCTGAAATAAACTTGTCTAACTCAGGGAGCATTTGGGTTTGTATGTCTCACTCACAGCAATCTACAACAATGGCTCCAATTTGACATCAAAGTCTCTAATTGGCATCAATGATATCTTTTTGTTCAAATTGCTCAATACTGATAAACTGTCTCGGAGACTGAGAGAACAGGTGTCTTCTACTACAGACATCCAAATGCTCCCTGAATAGGAAAATTATTATCACTTCAAATTCTTAACAGTGTCAAACTAAAATATAAAAGCATGATGGTACTTTGAATTGCAAACTAAAGTGGTTACTGGACTAAATCAGGGCAACTAGACACAGGCTACTGTCGAGACTAGGGCTATATGCAAACTACACTGAGGAGTGCTAGATCAGGTGTGAAAGACTCAGATCTACGAGGGACTCGGATCCACAGGGGATTCTGAGAATTATGGAACATTTTTTTCATATTTGGCAGAACTTATTTGCATGGCTACAATCCTCATGAATGATGAAGATGTACGTTGTATATATATATCGACTTCTTAACTCTAAAATATTAAGTGAGAGTTAAGGTGACAGGTGTAAGGTAGAATAGGAGAAACAAGATAGAATCTGAACCAGAAAACCGATGCTGCATCCCTTGATAATGGTGCATCACTATGATGTCATCCCCTCTATCATATCATGTGGGAGTAAGGTTAATATGGGAATGATGGTACAGAGGGCATGATGTCATGCAGGGAGTGATGTCATAGTGGAAATGACATCATAGAAGAAAGGATATAATAGTGGGAAGGATGTCACAGAGGGAAGGATGTCATTAAGAGAATGATGTCACAAAAGGAATTACATCATAGTGGGCCTGTCACAGATGGAATGTCATAGTCATAGTGGGAATGATGTCATAGTGGGAATGTTGTCATAGAGAGAATGATGTCATAGAAAGAATGTTGTCATATTAAGTATGATGTCACAGGGAAAATGTCATAGTGGGAATGTTGTCATAGAGAAAGTGATGTCATAGACGGAACAATGTCAAAGCGGGAACGATGTCATAGAGGGCATAACATCATAGTGGGAATGTTGTCATAGAGAGTTTGATGTCATAGAGGGAATGATGTCATAGAGGGAATGTTGTCATAGAGAGAATGATGTCATAGAGGGAATGTTGTCATAGTGGGAATTTTGTTACAGAGAGTTTGATGTCACAGAAGGAATGTTGTCATAGTGGTAATGTCATAGAGGGAATGATGTCATAGAGAGTTTGATGTCATAATGGAAATGATGTCATAATAGGAATGTTGTCATAGGCAGAATGATGTCACAGTGGGAATGTTGTCACAGAGAAAATGATGTCATAGAGGCAACAATGTCATAGAGGGCACAACATCATAGTGGGAATGATGTCATAGAGAGAATGATGTCATAGAGGGAATGTTGTCATAGTGGGAATTTTGTTAAAGAGAGTTTGATGTCACAGAAGGAATGTTGTCATAGTGGTAATGTCATAGAGGGAATGATGTCATAGAGTTTGATGTCATAATGGAAATGATGTCATAATAGAAATGTTGTCATAGGGAGAATGATGTCACAGTGGGAATGTTGTCACAGAGAAAATGATGTCATAGAGGCAACGATGTCATAGAGGGCACGACATCATAGTGGGAATGATGTCATAGAGAGAATGATGTCATAGTGGGACTGATGTCATAGTAGGAGTTATGTCAGAGAGAATGATGTCATAGTGGGAATGATGTCAGAGAGAATGTTATAGTGGGAATGATGTCATACAGGGAACAATGTCATAGAGTGAACGATGTCATAGAGGACTTGACATCAAAGTGGGAATGATGTCATAGAGAGCATGATGTCATAGTAGGAATGATGTCATAGTGTGAATGGTGTCAGAAAGAATTATGTCATAGTGGGAATGTTGTCAGGGAGAGAATGATGTCTTAGATGGAATGATGTCGTAAAGGGCATGATGTCAGAGTGCATGATGTCATAAAGGGCATGATGTCAGAGTGCATGATGTCATAGAGGGCATGATGTCAGAGTGTATGATGTCATAAAGGGCATGATGTCATGGTCGGCATATTGGAAATGACATCATAGAAGGAATGACATGCAGGAACTGACATCTTCTTGAAGTCATATGACAATGAGTATATTTGCATATTGTATATTTCTGCCATGTATTAGCCAAACTGCCATGGATTAGAGACGAGCCGTAGATCTGAGTCCTACACACATGCAGAGGAGAGTGAGAAGCACACAACAGCTGTAGGGGTAATGAAGTGAGAGAGAGAGTAGCTCCACAGGAACAACAAGCACGCCAGGAACTTCAGAGGGTCTCAAAATCACCAGTTTCTTTCCAATTCAAAGTAAATTCTGTCAAGTCTCAGTTATCTTCCCGAGGCAAGAGTGTTCGTCCACTAGCCTTTTTATCAAAGTCTTGTAGAAACTAGGATTTGATATAGGCTAGTGGACACACTTGCCTGGGAACATGAGTCTCAGTCGAACGTCTAATGTCAGCATTTCTTTCTGGAATGATCCTCAAGTAGACGAAATGTGACTGAAAAGTATTTGTTGCTCATGGCCCCATCCCAGCTGGTTGAACCGTTGCTCAGTTCTAGCTCCGAAGAAAGTGAGCAATAGTCCACACCATAACTATAACACAGTACCCTGCTGTGAACGATACATTTGTAATATCAAGCCAGGTAAGCTTGACATGTGATTTTGTTTTTGTTTTCGTTTTGTTTGTTGCTTCACGCCGCACTCAGCAATATTCCGGTTATATGACAGCAGTCGTTATATAATCGTGTCTGGACAAGACAATCCAGCTATTGACATCATGAGCATGCATCAACCAAGTCAGCAAGCCTGACCACACAATCCTGTTAGTCGCCTCTAATGACAAGCGTGGGTTGCTGAAGACCAATTCTAACCAAGATCTTCACGGGTCTCTTGATGTGGGAGGAAAGCCCAGGGTGCAGCAGGCTCTGAACATACCCGGGGGCCAAGTGGCCCAGTCGCCTAAGGAGCCGCAATTCGCTGCTTTTTATGTCAACATCTTTATTATGAGGCACACTACATTTCTGAGTATATACTTACTCCTTCATCAGGTAAATAAATGCAGAGAACATATATATGTACCTGTAAGAACAACAAAAGTAATAACATTACAAAGGTGGAAACTTAACAAGGGAAGCCAACAGCTAATTGATAGGTGATTAGCTAGAGACTTGATCTTACAGGTACATATAAAACTCTGCTTCATAGAATTTATTCACCTGATGAAGGGGTAAGTATATACTCCAAAACATTGTGTTCCTCATAATGAAGAAGTTGACATCCATAAATTCTCTCCTTATGTGTTTCACTTCTAAACTCCATTCAAAGACTTGTGTGAAACTCATGAGAGTGGTGCTGACAAAATAAAAACGATAAAAGGAAATCTGGAATTTGAACATACGATCATTAGATTCTGGCACAACTAAGGGATGCAACTCTGCATAGCAATTTGCGGCACCTTAGATGACTGTGTTGCCTATGCCTCCATCATTGTCCAGAATGGTTCCTTCCAAAACTGAATGACTCCTCACTATCATAACATTGTATACAACTGCTGCTGTCATGTTATCACCTGCACAATCCGAGTGAGAGAGTGAGTTGGGTTTAATGCCGCTTTAAACAGTATTCCAGTTACATCACGGTGTGTCAGCCTGATGTGAAGAGTTGCATCCCTTGGACATGCCAGAAACCTTTGATTGTGGGTTCGAATCCCGGTTCACATCAATAAAGTTTCGAGGTTTGTCAGCACCATACCCGTGCTCGTGGGTTTCACCAAAGTGGTAAACGTCTAAGACCTGCATCACTTCGGGCTTTCCTCCAAAGCTGACATGTCGGGATATATAACTGGAATATTGTTCAAAGCGATGTTAACACCAAACCCAAAGCTAAAAGCTCTTTAAAGCTCTATCACATAGGTCAGCACAAATAGATCACGTTGACATTAGGCAGATAAACAAAGGGGTTGGTAACAATTTTGGGGTAAAATATGGTATACTTCTACGTATGCTTGGATGCCTGGTTACATCCCAGTGAGTCCAGGGTCAGGATGCACGACTACAGGGAACATGCACTCTGCCCCTCCAGGCCTTTGTCCTAGGCTCAACAATTACCAAAGTCTTTCCCCAAAAACTAGTCATACATGCAGTCAGCACTGTGCTGAATATAAATTCAAGTTCTTTACAATAACACATTCTATGAAAATTATCCAGATTTTTGCGACCTGTTCCAAAAACGTGTGAGTCTGCTGGTCTGAATTTGTCTCATGACATCATTTTCAGTAGATTTTAGTGTTAATGAATGGACTTTATCAGCAAAGCTTACCAGACCAAAATAAATTTAGTGGCTAAAGTCACAGACTTTCTTTGCACAAGCCCTCATTCATTTTGTTGTCTTATGTTCTCAGTTGGGTAGTAACTATACTAGGTGAGGTGAGACGAAGTGGGGTTTAACGTTGCGTCCAAGATTATTGCACTTATAAAGCAACGTGCATGCATATGGGAGGGGGGGTTACTAGGTACGGGACCAATGCCGAGTTTATAGTGCTAGGCCACTGAGGTACCATGCCACAGTTTAACATGAATACCCCACTCAGACACAGTTTACTGACTGAGCTGACCAGTCCTTGTTTTAGCCCCTTAATGCAGAGTGCCAGGCAGGGAAACAACAAGTACCATCTTTCAACATCCTTTGGTAAGACGCGGCAGGAGATGGAACCCCCAACCATCCGCTCTCCAGGCGGACGCTCTACCACGAGAGCACGGAGGCAGTCTAGAGACCTGACTGATCAAACATGATTCTTAAAGATTATCATATTTCCATTCTTGGAAACTTAATACTTATAGAAATACCAGAGGCAATCAAACTGAAAATTCAAAATTTCCACTCACAGAGTTAGACAAGGGGGGCTATTGGGTCCTTGTGGTTTACTGCTCACAAACAAATTTCTCAGGACCCACTAAATCTGTAATTTAAAGTGTCATGACAAGGACACCTGGACTTTAATCATACATTTTGGACACTGAAAAAGGATATTGTAACATTTTCCAAACCATGACGTTGACCACTGAATTCTTACTACTTGAATATTAGGGCCCCAATCCACAAAGTGTTCGTAGCTGTAATACACCCATAAGTCAGTGTTAATCAAAAGAGCTACAATAGTTTATCACTACGAACACCTTGAAGGGTTTGAAATGAACATGCCGGTAAGTACAGAAGTACAGGGTGAGTAAAATATAGGAAGGACAAGTGACATTTCCTTGTGGACTACCACTTTAACCAATAGGTAAATAGCAACTCCGGACCAGATCACTTTAAAAAATAAATGAAAATAAATTCATTTCTAACCCTTCTTTGTGGAACAGGGCCCAGGTTAATATCAGGAGCAGGTACAACGCAACAGTCAGCACTTTAACAGATGGCCAGGTACACAAAGGCAGTGAAAGGGGCTAGGCTGAGAGGAAGGCAGGGGTTAGAGCAAGATGATGTTAGCATACATACAGGCGAGCCGGGCCGTCCCCAGCCTCACATACGTAATTCTCCGTGTGAACCTCCAGACTACAACAGATAGTTACACTTTCAAAATGGCCGCTGGAGAAAGCTTACAGATGGCTAGTGACGGAAACAAACATCCTGGATGTAGTACATGATGCAATGATGCTGCTGCAACTCTAGATGAACCGGCAAAATTGGGTAGATCACACATAATGTTAAACTATAAAATGTTGATGAGATGAAAACTTTCAAAATTTCAACTGCCACTTGATCATGTAGAGAAAATTTGATCAAATTGATCTTACTGATACTGGTTGTGGAAGAACATGGATGATTAATAGTAATGATTTCAATTTTTAAACTTGGATATAAAAATGTAAAAATTATTATGATTGTTATCAAAATATAGGTCACATTTATGATACTTTGCACGACAGCAAAATATGTAAACATGCTACCACGACATTGTACACCATGAACACAGGTACGTAACGAATGGAGATTCTAGTGGTGTCCACAGGACTGATGCTAGAACATAAAACTAACTCAACAGTGGTTTTCTGACAAGTAGCATCTGACTTCATTGTGATTTGTTAATAGTACGCAAACACTCAAGGCCCTAACTCTGCACACAGAAAACAGACATAGACATCATGCACATCTAAAACCACAGCGTGCTTGCATGCTGGACTTCCTTAAAAATTCTATTCTTGGTTCCCAAGACATTTAAAATCTGCATCCATCACCATCATGAGAGGTCTTTGTTCTACTTCAAGACAAATGGATGATGTTAGGAGTATTTCTTTTCAAACGAAAAAACAATCTGTTGTAAATTACATCCTGAGGACCCAAAATCTTTGTTTAGCCTTAATGGAAAATACAGAACAATTTCACATCAAACAGAAACAAAATTGAATATTTTGATACTGTGTACAGTAGTGTATGTTATTAAATATTTATTATCTAAAGTCAAAATATATATTTACATTTTCAAAATAAAATTAACTTTTATTTTTTTATTTTAAACATAAGTTTCTTAAATGATCTGAACATCCTCTATAACTTTTTTTACATTAATTTTCATCACAAATATCTGAAGTGAAAATAATTTACCCAAACAATTTTTTTCCCCCTATGCTCAAAAAAGAAAAGTATTGCCAAGTGTCATGCAAGAATAGCAGGGTTCCATGCAACAGGAAACATCCCTAACAAGCTGTGATGTCCCAAAAACTCAATATCCATATTCATATGTAAACAACAAATACACTAACACATGATCTGTAACAGGAGTAAAACTTACACTACCGCTCTTTCAGCAGATTTATCAAATTCTCATTAAAAGAAGATCTGCCGCTAAGCGAAGATCTGAGGACATCCATTATGGGACACGTCAGAACCACATTTCATCTGACCAATCAAAGTGTCGTTTACCAGACTGGTACAGTGACAGTCAGAACATTGTTTTAATCATGCTGCTTTGAGAAGGTTAACATGGCTTATTCCGAAATGACAGTTACGGGCTGTACGAAGGATTCCTTCAAAATCATCGTCCGTCTTTCGCTTCAATGGGATAAACAATTGAAACAAGGGACTTTTCACAGCCCATGCCATAACATCTTAGCCATCTATTAGACATTCCAGAATTTTCATTCATTCACTTTTCAAATTTTGAATCGATATTTTTGAAGCGCAGTCTGGAACAGAAATTGTCAGTTTGATACTAGTGCTGTAAAGCTTCAGAATTCTGCTTTCTGATTGGCTAATGTCAACTTCTTGTTAGTCACTTCATTGTTGGGTCAAAGTTCGCAAAAGCTCATTCCGACATGACCTGTAATGGGATGTCTTCAGATCTTTGTGTAGCGAGCACTAAGATCTGATTTTAATGAGATTGGCACATTTTGGTGATCTTTAGAAAACCAAAACATCTAAGATCTATAATTTATTCACGTGATACTTCTATTCATCTGAATAATGCTTAACATCCACATTTCCAATCAATGTTTGCACATAAAACAAGAAATGTTTAAACTTAATGAACATCCTTACAACTGAAAAGCAAGTTTTCAAAAAAATCTTTTTCATCCCCAAATTGAAAAGAATTATATCTATATTTATATTTAAACAGGAGTTGCATATTTACCACATCACATTCATACACCATGCATGTTGTACCAACACATGTTCAGTTTCTAAATAAAATGGATTTACAAAACAAGCCTATATTCAACTCCCCCAATTACCCAGTGTATGTTATCTCCTTTTTATTCTGTTATATACCCTGGGCCCATTCACAGCCAGAGTTTGTTCTGAAATGGCTCACCATTTCCATCCATCCCTCCCTCTCATCACCAACATGGCAGAGAGGGGATGATGTCATTGAGAGAATGATGTCATATTAAGTATGATGTCATAGGGAGAATGTTGTCATAGAGAAAATGATATCATAGACGGAACAATGTCATAGAGGGAACGATGTCATAGAGTTTGATGTCATAATGGAAATGATGTCATAATAGGAATGTTGTCATAGGGAGAATGATGTCATAGAGGCAACAATGTCATAGAGGGCATGACATCATAGTGGGAATGATGTCATAGAGAGAATGATGTCTTACAGGCTGATAGAGCTGAGAAGGGGATGAGTACTCTCCAATGGAGCTGAGAAGGGATGAGGGGTGGAACAGAATGGGGGTGATTTTATATGATCTGGGGTCTTAAAGAGAGACAAGATTATTTCGAACCACCAACTTTTCTCTCCCTGGCAGGCATGCCTAAGGGACACAACTCTGCACAGTTGAATTGAAAAAGCAACCAACTGTGCCACCCATACCACATAGACTCATAACAAGACTGAAAGCAACCACAGACAAGTTCTTGATGAACTGGACCTCGGTATGTAACCAACATAACACAGCCACATAAACCATCGTTGAGGTTTCCCTAACCCTAACCCTCACAACAAGTACCATCCTTTACCATCTTTTGGAATGAAACGACCACCTGGGGATTGAACCATCGACCTTCCACTCTGCCGGTCTTGTAAGCATGTGTGTGAGTGAATGAAAGTTTCGGCAATATTCCAGCCTCACCACGGCAGTACATAATCAAGTCTAGGACATTGTAAATGGACATGGTAAATGGACATGGTAAATGGACATGGTATATTGACATGGTATATGGACAAGTAGTGCTGAAACACTTGGTGTCATACTTAATCAGGAACAACAGCACTCGTCTCTCCTACAGACACTGAAGAAGAAATATCAGAAAGCTCCCAAGCAAGTCTACGAAACTATGGCAAATCTACATTTCTCCTGAAAATGAAGTGATTCTCTGGAATCCTTTGTATGATATCTTGCCATGTTTGCAAGACAATTGAAACAAAAAACATAACATAGGACTAAATGTTAGCCGTAGTAAACGCCCCGGAAGTTTGGCAAATTGACAAAGTTTATTGAAACCAACCACAAGTTACATTTGTTGTCAGAGATGTTGCGGTGCTCGAAACTTGAAAATAATGGTAAAGATTTTGCATTAATTACTTTGGATCAAGTAAAAGAGATAGCTAACCCATGCCCTTTCACATAACTAACCCTAAGGATTGTATAGGGGTGCTTGATGGAAACCGGGTACCTAACCCTAAGGATTGTATAGGGGTGCTTGATGGAAACCGGGTACCTAACCCTAATGATAGTAGAGGGGTTCTTGATCGGAAAGGGGTACCTAACCCTAATGATGATAAAGGGGTGCTTGATCATGTTGATTGGAATGGGGTACCCCACACTAATGATCGTAAAGGGGTACCTAACCCTAATGATCATAAAGGGCTGCTTGATCATGTTGATGATGGGGTACCCCACACTAATGATCATAAAGGGGTACCTAACCCTAATGATCATAAAGGGCTACTTCATGGGAAAGGGTTTAATAGAGAGTTGTGGTTAACCTAGCCTAACACAAACACAACTTGCCCTGAGGATTGAAGAGGAACACATACCTGTGAAATGTGAAATGAGAGCCACAATCGACAGCCTGAGCCAATTAGCGCTAACTAAGCTGGGACAAGTAAACTGCATTGCTGACAGTCACTCCATCACCATTGCTGTCATATTCACACAAAACGGACCTGTCATGTAAATCTATTTCGGGGTTATCAAGACATGCCCAGAGGCCTATATTCAGCCCCAAGTCTGCAGCAAATGACTGTACAAATTCCCAATTAAAATTTCACAATTCCTCAGAAAGAACAAAAATGTTACATTACAAAAATCAAATTTTGAACAATATCACAATTTTTCCCCAAAATTGCCTGGCAAGAGCAGCTTGTTTGGAATTCTAGATACATCCTTGCTATTGTAGGAGCAGGGTGCTTCATACTGCAAATACAGTACACCACATGACAAATATTATTGAGTACAATGAGACCTAGGTATAAAATAACCTACCTTTCACAATGTTCCATAAAGAAGAAAATATCAGGGGCTGTGGTAAGTTGTGTCAGGTGATTGTGTCGGCGGCAACAGAGCCATCTTGGTGAGGGTCTGCAACAATGTCCAACACAATGAGCACAAGTGATTCACAGCCAAAACAAGATTAATCATAATGACACTACAAATCTTAATACTCTGATACCTTGGAAACCAACAACAAAAATAAATTTCATGGAAATTTAGATGTAAAGGTTTCAATGAATGTCACTTTTCCTGGTTCATGATACTGAAATAATTACAGAACTGTTACCATGGTTACAATCAAGTGGTAACACGAATAGAACAATGTCAATTAACAATCGTTAGGTTTTTTTAAAGAAATGATGTTAAAGGAGTAATATTGGATGACACAATTAATTTATTTTTGCATTTTTATGCAGCATGATTGGGAGGGGGAGCCAGGGGGTGGGGTGGGGTGGGGTGGGGTGGGGTGGGGTCGTGTGACATCGGTTCGGCAGGCCTGTACAGCAGCAATGGAATAAAGACAAACAAATGGATCAACGAATGGTGCATATTGATTAATGATAATAAAGTGCAGTTGGTTTGTGGGAAGAAATACCGTAGTCGTATAGACTGTGAGAGGGCGTGGTCAGTGTGTGAAGGTACGCATTTATCATACATACAAGAATACAGGAAGCACGCTGCCTGCTTCATCGCCACGGAAACACTTGCAACGTGCATCAGAGAGCGGCAAAAACAGTTGGCAATTGGCCAAGGGAGGGCAAGGTTTGGAACATGCTTCGTCCCTGTTTGACAACACTGGCCGCTCTGTGCGAGAAATAAAAGATGTGCAGTGAAATATACGACTGAACTTACCTTGAGATGCATGTGCATAATGGTCGTCTCCATCGATAGAGATGCGACGAGGCCGAGCGAGCAGGCTTGGGTGTGGTGATGCCAGCCACCGACAATCAGATACTTTCGCCGCCATGGTCAGCTTAGGTTAATCACGGCCTTGGCATTAGTTACCTCGCTTGTGATTGGTGCTTTGCTGCCTGCTTCCGGGTGGCTTGGTGCCGGCTGGCTAAACTGCGTTTTTTGGCGTTCGGTGCAAAGACCAGATGCTCTCGGTGTAACCGGTGCAGTCACGTGGTGGATTTGTGTGAAAAGTGGAAAGAAGTTGGCTAAAATGGAACTGCATGTATAATGAATAAAAGAAAAGATATTTCCTTTATTTGTTACTGCGAAAAATAAAGCATAATAATGCAATAATTTGTTTTACAGACAACCGAAGATGTGAAGGTGAAGTAATTAACAGTATAAAACCTGAAGACGAGTTGTGAAATAAATGCTGACAATTGGAAAGAGAGTTAAAGCTGCATTGAAGGGCAACAACAGCAAATGGCAAGAAAAGCAAAGATTAATACGCCATGCACGTGCAAGAAGTAAAATGACTAGAAGTAGACTTAATTATGTATTGCCTTAAAGAAATATTTTATTTTTTTAATTTGGTTGAAGTGATTTTGTTTGACATAAAAGTGATGAAATGAAAGACAAGTTAATTGTGTTTGAAAACGAAGCCATAATGCTAGGTGAAAGCAGGGAAGGAGCGGGTTAAAACGGGGCAGAAGCGGGGTAAAAGCGGAGCCCGGGTAATCGGGGCCAAAGAATAGAAAGGGAGCAAAGCGATTAGTCGGTCGGTGAAAAGGGATGGATTTGATTGGCGAGAGTTGAGGGGTGAGAGTTGAGTTTGGGGTTCATGTAGGTTGTAAGAAGTTCCTTAAAAAAAGAGTTCTTACTGATAAGGGGGTTTGCACCCACTCAAGGTGCCCCTGGGCCAAAGTGAGCGATGCCACGAGACTGCCGACTGTACCTGGAGGCACAAGTACTTCCAAATGGATCCCAAAGTACCCCAAAGTGCATTTTCAGACGGGTGTAAATTGTCTGGAAAACACCCTTTCTATTAATAAAGGTTCGGATATAACGCGAGATTAGCAAGACTACTGGTGGCCACATTAGCGCTGTGAAATGATACATTCTGGCTTATCTGGCCCGGGGATATTTTATGTGTAGCTTATAAGCTCGCAACATCCCCCATCAACCACCAGTGAAGGGTTTCTCCCTGGGGCCTTTTTTGGACTCCAAACGTTGCGTAGTATTTCAAGTTTTATAAATACGCCAAAGATGCCCAAACCACAAAGACAGATACTATTAATCAATTCGAAAACAGAAAGAACAACATTTATTTTGATGGGTATGAATAATTTTTGAGGAATATCATACGTTATATTTATATAGATGGTACCATTTCCCAGCGCACTTTTTGAACTATAAATTAGTAATTGCGTTTTATTAGCAATTTTGATTGAACCGTTTTACTTGAAATCCTATAAAACTCGATATAAAACTCGAGAATCATTTGTACGAAAGTGTTCCCATGTGCTGTGCTTGCTGTTGGTGAGGAAAGCGCTGATGTGTTGGATGTCAACCTATTAGCAACACTACACGTTGTATAAATAGAGTACCTAACTGATGAAAGACCCATTTCTCTCAGAATGTCACATTGAAACACATTGCTGTATACTCTTTCTCCGTATTTAACTTGTATTAATGGAAGGGTTGACCAAAACTCATATAGTGTGGTGTTGGGAGGCTAAATTGGCCGTTTTGCTCTAATGTTGAACAATGTTGCACAATGTTGGACATGGTATCATAGCCACTAAAGTTCATTCATTTTCAGATCATTCAGCAGAAGCCTCTTATATTAAATGTGCTTAATGTATTGATTGCCTGCTTCAATATGGAAGATGGGGCGGTCGGGTCGGGTAGCCTAGTGGTTAAAGCGTTCGATCGTCACGCCGAAGACCCGGGTTCGATTCCCGACATGGGTACAATGTGTGAAGCCCATTTCTGGTGTCCCCCGCCGTGATATTGCTGGAATATTGCTAAAAGCGGCGTAAAACCATACTTACTTACTGACTGACTGACTGACTGACTGACTGACTGACTGACTGAATATGGAAGAAAACATGCTCACTTTGTTCTGAAAGTGGATATGCAACTTTAATGGTCCGGTCCCCCCCCCCCCCCCCCCCCCCCCCCCCAACACACACACGCACGCAAGCACGCACGCACGCACGCACGCACGCACGCACACACACACACACACACACACACACACACACACACACACACACATTGTGTCATTGCATTTGGTGGCCTTGATATGTCATACCTGTGGTTACCAGACAAGATAAAAATGAAAAGATGACATTTTACTTAACTGAACTTAATTCTGAAATATTATGTGATTCTATCGATATCATACAGTAAAGGTAAAACGGTTTTAGCTGTTATACTAAAGCTCAGATGTGCGGAAAAACGGGAACTGCGTTAATGGTGAAATCCTGACGTAAATTTGATCAAATACAACTTCCATGCACCAAGGTGTGGATCCGGTGACAGCAAGCTCAATCCTGATAACACCACCCGGGTTGTGTTAAGACAATATGAGACAGGTGCACGCGCGGCGTTTATCCTGTGCCTGAGAGAACTTTTTAAACTGGGCTGGGCTGGGCTGGGCTGTTTTCTGGGACGATGTTATTGCGTCGACAGGTATATTCATCGTCTCACTGACTGATTTGTGGCAAAGAAATATATTAAAAACAGACGTTTACCGTCCCCAGCAACAGCCTGTGCTTGTCATAAGATGGGTTGCTAACTGAGTGAAGCGGCAGAAAAATATCTGACAAATAGACCAAATTTGACATTGCGGCTTCAAGCCTGAATCTATGTGTGAGGTCTAGCAAACAAATAATTTACATTACTTTTGTTTTCCACAAGCACTATTCATGCATACGACACGGTAAACGATTCATTCAGCTGTGCACGTTTATTTCTATATAAAGATCATTTAAAAAACAAAATGCGACACGGCAAGTTCGAACTTATGAATTTTCATTTTTTAAATGCGACGAGCTATCGACTGTGCTGAAACCACAGCTTTAAAAGCTTTTGCAATTTTCCTAGTCATGCCTAAGCGCGGCAATGCACTGGAATATACAAATTGTGACAGTTTGCTTTCGTTACCACTGCTGTTGAGAGTATGCTTGTCGCGATCTGTTTGGGGCGGGGGTGGGGGCGGAGGGGGTGATCTGTTAAAACCTCGATTCAGAATATTCACGATAGACCTGTCAAAAGACAAAACTAAAAATGCTAAATGTTAAAATGTAGTTATAGTACACACACACACACACACACACACACACACACACACACACACACACACACACACACACACACACACACACACACACACATTCATTCGGTAATAGTACATACATTTTGCGCCCCTCGCCTTGCATATACCGAGGCAGCTTCAAAATTACTATTTGTTCAATAAAAACAAAACAGTCACGGTAATATGTGTGTATCTATAGGCCTATGTATAAATGTTAAAACTAACCCTAAAACAATGTTTCAGAAAAGTGAAGAGATTCAACAGAGTGAGTAAATATATAAGTAAATATGTTGATCTTTGTATGATTGAGAAAATATTAATAAATGTTTGGATGAATGAATGTTTGGATGAATAAATGTTTGGATGAATGTTTGGATGAATGAATAAATAGATAAATGAATGAATGAATGAATGAATGAATGAATGAATGAATGAATGAACAAAAGGTGTGAACAGTGCACATAGCATCCATATAAATTATAAATGTACATGGTCAATAATCAGGATAATGCGAGCCAGTATAAAATAAGGATTTTGTCTTTCTGCCACAATTTATGCGAGGCACTAAACTTTGGATCCGTCAAAAGATGATTTATGATTTCGGCCAGACAACTGAGAGGACGTTTGGTGCCCAATGCGTCAGTTTGTGTGACATGTTTTGGAATGAAAGAAGTGCCATAATTATACTCCTAATTTACACGTATTAATACGGACAAGGAACTTTTTTTGTAACAGGAGCCAAAGAAAGAGTTTCTTTGATAACCTGTAACGTCACGTGACCTCCGCCATAACAGTCTGAGGGAGACGGGACAGTTACTGGACTAAAAAACAAACACAAATTCTGCACTTTTCAAATTTACATTGGTCTGTGGGCAACTTTGTCTTTGCCTTTAATTGCTTTCTCTTATTTCAAGCACAAGAAATAATTGAGCAATGTGTCAGAAGGACTTCAGATATAACAATCCTTAGTAGATAATTATTTTTCCGGAGTTTAGCCTATATTGCAAATAAGTGGTATAAAGTTAAAGGGAAACGCATGTCATTGTTAAGGTCACCCGAGGTACCCCAAGAGTAAAACGCACAGTAAATTCGTGACTCTATATTCACCACCATATTCTTCAAGGAAATACTCCGTGTGTTGAATATTTATTGTTTACATCGACAGCCTGGCTTCAAGTGATATCTTTAATACAAAGGTTTGTGTAAATATCAGGTAAAAATTTGACAGTGGTGTCCATCGCCTTGTTGACACCTCAAAAACAAATACTTTAATGCTTTTATTTCTGAATGAAATTTAAATACGTTTTGCAATCACAAAATATTATAGTGCTCACTTTGGTCATGTCTTTGATTTTTAACGCTTTCCATAATGTAGCTCACAGGAGACACAGGACTCCATTAATGTGAAACGTAGGCTACACCATTTCGTCAGGCAGACACCTGTTTTGGTGCGCTCGTCATGGCAATGCTTACACATGGCAATGCTTACAGAGAAAATAGAACTAACATGAATTTACGATATGTAAACATACAGTGTCCACTCCATTGAATAAAATGATACTAGATAATGTAATCTCAAGTAATGAACAGTTTTGTTACCTGTCACCTTTAAATAAAATCGCTTTTAATTAGAATCTGGTTGTTTCACAAATCAAAGCATGCTGCTAGACTCTGTAAGGCGACAACAAATGAATTGTTTGGATTTGATGGACAATAAAGATAAAACTGTTCACGAATTT